AAATACTGAATATATGTATGTACATATTAAAAAATGTATACAGGGTCGAATTTAGAACTTTAAAAATACATTTCGTTCGGCTACGAATGCATTCCTGCTTGTTTTAAGATAAGATATTGTCCTTATAACGAGCTATGGTCGAAAAAGAAATTAAAAAGCTGGCAAAATGGCGGCATTTCAAAGTTGAATTTAAATAAAAAAATCTATTTTGAGAAAAACGCGTTTAAAGATAAACTGATAAGCCGCTCGGACTTTTAATTTAAAAGGCTGTAACTCCTAAACTATTTGAAATATTCCTTTAAAAATTTATTAAGTAATTTTTGAAGATATATACAGTCAATATAGGTATGTGAGAACAAACAAAATGATATTTTTGAAATTTCACACTAAGTGTGCCCGTTAAAATATGGATATTTGCACTACGAAGCTACTATGTTATTTGACTTGGTCTCCACAGTCACGAAAGGGGTAATAGTAAATCATTACTCTTGATTTTTCCAAATAATGACGGTCTCTCGTCAGTCGGAGTTTTTAGCACGAAATTATGAATTTTGAGGCTGGTTTCAGAAAGAGGAAGTAATAGCGCAATTGTTTATGATCGCTGTCACCAAAATATGCTAGTACTTTATGTTCCTATCGAAAAAAACACCTTAAGTATCGCTGCCGGAATTAGTTTTATCCATTATTAAAATGTATCTGATAAAGATTCGTTCTGTCTAAAACCTCGTTTAATATTAAAAAGTCAGCGCGGCAGCCCTAATTCTTACTGGGCTTCTGTGTTCAGCGATAATTTTAAGCAACGGGAGGGGTGGTAACTCTTAGATAACTCCTTTAAGTTTTAGACGGTTCTTGAAAAAATGTGAGGTTTTATGATAGATATGATGAAGATATTCTTATGAAATTAACATTTTGAATTAAAAAAAGTAAAAAAAGTTAACTTCTACTGCTTTGCAGCTATAGTACCCATCACAGGGTATTCCGATTCGAACAATATGTTCGCAGATTATAGCCATACTTTGACTAATAATCTATGCCAAACTTTGTTAGGATAATTTTTCAAATAAAAAAATTTCCAAAGAAAGACTAGATTCTGATCATTCAGTTTGTAAGGCAACTATATACTACAGTGGTCGGATATCGGCGATTCCGACAAGTGAGCAGCGTCTTGAAAAGAAATGAACGCGTGCAGAATTTCAGGTTGATATCTAAACACCTAAGAGGCTAGTTCGCGTAGGCTTTATAACGTTTCCTTTTAGGTGCTACAAATGGCAAGATTAATATACCCTGTTTAGGGTAGAAAAATTAAAAGTGTGTGCAAAAATTTCAGAGCGGAAATTTTAATCAAATAAATTAAGTTTGATCGTGTCTAGTTTACTTACCATAGTATCTAGATTTAGAGTAATAACTGAAAATTTCAAAGTTGATAACCCAAGACACAGAAACTCAAAAACCAGAAACAACAACAAAAAGAAGCATTACTTACATTTTATATTATTTGCTGTAAATTTACTTAATACAATATTATTTATGAGCAACGTTAATAGCAGATTCGCCAAAATCCACTGTCACTGTCACTTTCAATGCTGCTGCTGCCATTTTTTCCTCCATTTTTCTATTTTTCACTTTGTTTCCAATATTCCGAAACCCTGCTCTTGCGTAATTTTGCGCTCGCTCAACTCGTTTCTTATCGCTATTTGTTGTTATTGTTACACGACTGCAACATGCAATCGGAATCGCAATCACTGGCGGTGATCTTCATAACAAACGGAAATGTTTACAATTGGAAGTGGGATAAATAGAGAAAATACAAAATAAAATTATACAAACAAAAACAACCAACGGCAACCGCAGAAACGCAACATCGGGCTGGCTTTTTGGCGCGCCCGTGCACATTGTTGCTTATTTTCCTGTTACCATTGGCGCCATACTACAGCCGGAGTTTTACCAAAAACGAACAACAAATAAATACCGACAACAACAACAAACACGCAAACCACAGGCTCTCAACTCGCAGCGCAAAGTCATCAAGTCTGCAAAGCTTTTTGTTGACATTCGCAAGCGACTACCGACTACTCTGCTTCTCTCGTGCTCACCCTCACCACACTTCACCACATTGCTAACTCTTCGGTTGCGCTGCCTTTCGCACATTTTGGCGGCACTTCTTCTTCGCTCATCTTCTTGTTTGTTTGTTGTTGTTACAACTTTTGGTTGCTGTTGTGATTTCGTTTTTTCGACTGCCGGTTTTTATTTGTTTACATTTTTAACTGTTGATCGAAGCATAGTCGTTGATCTCGACCCTGTCCGTGTGCGTACATATATGTGTTGGTCTGCTGGTCGCATCTTTCATAGCTGTTTGTCCACTTGTTGACGTCACAACCGCCATAAAGCATTCAAAAGCAATTATTTACTTTTTGGCAATTAAATACGAAAAATAAAAGAAATAAATGCAACAGCAACAACAAAAAACAACGAAATTGTTACTTCTTTGTGAATGAATGGGCAATTGAACGATAAATTATACCGTTAAGTGGTTGAGTGAATGAGCGCATGAGTGCCGTTGTTGTTCGCTGAGTGAATGGTGAATGGCTGAATGAGCATATAAGTAAATAAAATAATATTTTTGTTTGAAATTCGATCTGCACATCTTGAATTATTTACACACGGCGTATAAGCGATTTGACATTGAACTGGCACTTCGAGTTGGTTTTATGTGAGCGGAACGTAACTTCAACTGTTAAGTGATAGGAACTTGTGTTTTTTTTTAAGATATGTATATAGAAATTAATTTTTTGAATATTAAAATAAAAAATATGATAATAAAAAAAAATAGATAACATAAAATAAATTATAAAAAATAAAAATATTTTGTACTTTAAAATCTAAAAAAAAAAAATAATATAATATTTAAAGAAAATGTATAATATATAAAAATATATACAAAAAATAAAAATGAAATCGAAATCGTAATTTTTAAGTGCTAAAATTATTTTAAAGGTGATATAGTTAAAAATTTACAAAACCTTAAAATATTTATATTGTAAAAAATATTTGTGATGAATATTAAAAGAACGTGCAAAAAATAAAAATAATATTTTAAATATACATAAGTATATTTAGAAAAAGAACTAAAACAAAATAAATTTTTAATATTAAAAAATTAATAAACTAGAAAAAAATTATATAAAAAATATTGTTATTTTTAAATTGTATTAAATGTAATGTAAAAAATAAATTCAATCCAAATATGTATTTAAAAAATTAACAAAAAAACACAAAATATAAAAATTAGATAAAACCATTACCAAAAATGTATATATATGTATGTATATAGTTTTTTATATAGTATATTCGAAAGATAAATTAAAAGCAAAAATTCAATGCAAAAATTAAATAAATAATAAAAATAAATATCTAAAACACTACAAGCATTAAATACTCAGTAAAAAAATACGAGTAGGCACTTTGTTGTCATGTTCGCTGTTGATTAAAAGTATTTTAATGGCTTACATGCCGACCAGCTGTGGGTAGCTGTCAGTAGGCGAACCAGAATGAAATGTCGCACTTTATATGGCGATTGTTAAGCAATCGATTGAGAATAAAAATTTATCAGTGTGTGATATATAAAATAAGTAATGAAATAAATAATGTGGCTGATAACTAGCTTATGTGCTCGCAAAATAATAATAGCAAATAAGTGGTAGGAAGCTAAGAAACTGCTTGGCTACGAGTTGTATAATAAATTTTCCTAGTTAAGAAGTGTTATGCAACTATATTTATGATATTTTAGGTAATGCTAATTACATGTAGCAGTTTATAATTGGAGAGTTTTTAACCTCCACTTCAGTTAGTTTTTATATTCTGAACAAACTACTCATATATTTGAATTGCCACGTCAGAGACCCTATAAAGTATATATGTACGTATAAGTATATAAGTGACCAGCGTGACGAGCTGGACCGATTTAGCGAAGTTCGTCTGTCTGTATATACGCGATCTAGTCTAGTTTTTGAAGTATCAATCTGAAATGTTGCCTTCTCACCCCAAGATGCTGCTCATTTGCCGGAACCGGATATCATATCACCGGATATCACTATATCATACAGCTGAAATTTAGCATGGACAAAACAAGGTCACAATCTCCTAACAAAATTTTCAGATTAGAAATTTCACAAACCCGTGTAAATTAATTTCGTTTAAGTTCTCAGTTTAAATGAACCAGCATCAAATTTGATAAGATTGAAAAGACAGAAAATGGATCATATGGTATATGACTTTGCTGTTAGGATTGCCTTGCATATCAAAGTTTCGAACCAACATTCACAATAATGTCGTAATAGAAAGTTTGTGAGTTCGGAAAGGTTTTTAATATTTTTTTATAATTTTATATAATGATTTTTATTGCGCATGAAACTTACGTAGTGGATATTGATATAAGCACCCTCCATAGAAGTATGTACATTTGGGAATTTTCTCTGCTGGCGGGTCCTTTAGACCAACTATGGTTAATATTGTTATTACTACACACTTTGGTAGTGATTATGATATTCGCTTCGCCCAACTGACCGATCCAGCCTAAGTCTAGTGTGAGGTTGATTTCGTTAGGTTAAGCCTATTAAACCTATTAGTATCTTGTTACCGCTTTCGCGCAATGAATATTTATTGAAAATGAAGGGGTTTTCTTATAAGGAATAACAGCGAAGACACTTCATTTGCTTTAGTTTGCCGCAGATGAGACGGATTTGAGGTATACCTCCATTATCCATTTCTAATACCTTTTCTGTGAGTCTTAGAGAGATTCTATGAGGATTAGAGAGATAACAGCACTTTTTCTTATCATTTGAGGTGCCGCCATGTTATTAAAAAAATGGTGCGATACACCAATTTCTCCTGGCAGGAATGGGCTCGGAGACTTACCATTGTTCAACCTTTATTAAAAGAATTTTTTGATGATGTTTTTCAGAAGCTGGGGTCGAACCTAATTCTGAGAGAAATTCCTATCCTTGGAAATTCTCATTCTCTTTTATTTAATCATTCATAAAAAAATCAAACTACGGGTTTTAGCATATTTATTTCTGTTATTTCGCTATATGTCCTCTCCGAATACTTGACGCATCAACTACGCTAGGCGATCTTTTCACCATCCTCTTCCGAACCAGAGTTTTTCTCTTCGACCTGCTCTTCCTTCTTGCCATAATCGGAAAATGTCAAATTAACATCGTATGGCGAGTGCCAGAAAACGCCGATCGGAGTGTAATTATATTGTATGGGCCAAGAATGGAGTTTATCGTCCAACTCGTTTGGTATACGGTTGTACATTAAAGCACGCCGTTGCACATTACAATAGAAACGATTACAATTCAGCACAAGTTCAATACGTTGCACTTCGGGTAAAAGTTTATTGAATATGGTAGGTGTTAGATCTTCACCGAAATCAAGACTGGGTCGCCACAAACTGAATGTACCCTTACCAGAGCTTATGGTACTGTGCATAGCATTATCTTGCCCCCGCTGTATGTCTTGTGAAAGCGTCGTACACAGCTCAAACAATTTATCCTTAATCGTCAAGTGTTGTTGGCTCATTAGCTCAATGTCGGTGACCGTGTTCGGTGGAAATTTCTCATTAATGTTAATCGGTACGGCACGACGATAATGGAAATTTTGAAAATATGTCTGAAAAGAGAAAAAGAGTATAATAGTAGTGAACCTTACGGCCATATTAGCCATTCACTTACTTCACCGGTGCGATCTTCGGTAAGGAAAACTTTATTTGCTACAAAGTATTTATCTGCAATCGCACTCAATTGCGTACAAAAGGAGCCGACAATATCTTCAACGCATTCGAACATCAACAACGTATAGTCGCCCAAGTACAGAAACAAGCCCGTGGGTCTATCACCCGAAATACTATTTTCAGCATCGCGCGCCAATATGTGTTGCAATTCCATTTGTAGTATTATCTTAAAATCGAGCGTATCTCGTCGTGCCGATGTCACTGAGGTCAGTGAGCGTCTGCCCGCTCGGTACGAACCGCCATGCGGTAATGTCGGCGGCGTCGGTCGACTTTGTAGCTGCGGCGGCTGTACATCCAATTTGTTCTTTGCCAATATGTATATGCGTTGGTAGAAGAGACGTCGCGATAACTCCTGTAGATCTTCGCGTATATAGTCGATGAGTGAAGGTCGAATGGAGTAACACTCGGGTTGTTCTCGTACAATGGGATCGTGGAATCGTAGCGGACGACTGAAACGTGCTAACTTAAATGAACTGATTGATGCCGTTGCCAAAGAGGGCATTTTGGCTATTTATTTTGGAGATTTTCAATATATAAATAAGTGTTTATTTTCGTAAATATTTTTTAAAATAAAATTGCTGTCGTTTTCGTTTTGCTGATTCTCGAAGTTTGTTTAGTTTTGCTTAAATGTAGAAAACATTCGTTACTTAGCAATGTATAAGTAATCGAAAGAGTGTTTGTTTACTGTCGTTAGGAGTGATACGCCTCTGGGAGAGTATTTGTGAGACGGTGTGCTGCAATATTAAATGGAATATTCATTAAGAATGTGCTATATAATTTTGCTTTTGGCACGAAAGTCTCTTTTCGAGACTAAGAAAAAAGTAGTCTTCGTTACATAACTTAAATCCAATTAACTTAGAAAAATAATATTTTTCTAGATTTTAGGAGAAGTAAATGTGATATTTTAACTTCTATCTATGCCATATACTGCTTGATAGGTCTATTAAACCTTTGCGGGGAGACTGATTCCGTTCGGAAAATCTTTGAAAGTGAAAGAATAATCTGGGTTTCTACTGGTTATTAAATTTGAATCCACAATATATGGTCTACATATTTTCTACCCATAAATATAAGACTTTTGAACCTTTAGGAATCGAGTTCAACAGATTTTGTTAATGCCCTTTTCAATGAACTTTATATTCTTGTTGAAATTGGACTGATGATAATAGTATTAAACTTATACTAAGTACTTCTCTGATTCATAGTAAATTTCCGTCGGAGTCTATCGATGGAAACTTATGATCACCATGATCGTTATATTTCAAAATGTAGACTTTATTTAAAAATCCATCAATATTGAAAGAGTGAAAATAATGCCAGGTTATTTCAAGAAGATTTTCATCGACGAAGTTTAGCCTTCACAAAACTTCGTTCGATAACGAAGACCAAAAATCTCATACGATTTGTGTGCAATGTGGAAACCTTGATACAGAATTACTACGGGGATTCTACAAAATTAAGATACAAATACAAAGTGATACTTTAATATCAGAGGAACAACCAAAAAGCTGACTCTAACTTTCAAGCCGTATGAGCTGAAATGGTTTAGTTTGTCGATAGTAAGAGTATCCATGAACATAGTGAAAGGGCCAAGGATACTTATACAAGTACAATAAGGCGTATAGTAAAAAAGATTGCGCATTAAGTCCAGGACTTCGCAACAACGATTCTATCTCATAATTTTTAGAAGTATACTAAAACCTTTAAATAGTTAAGCAAAATAAAGAGGTCGAAAATAATATATTTATTTTATTCTTTCTAAAAAACCATTTTACAAATTTTTAAAAAATTTGACCTTTTCTTTATCTTTGAAATACTATAAAAACTTAATATATACCAGTTCTTCCACAATTTTCGTTATCATTATTTAGTTTATAAAATATTTCTATTTGCTTTTGCAGGTTTCACTGCTTGCGGTAGTGGAGGGCTCATGGGGTTCACCAGGTGATGGACAGTATCACATACAGACAGATGAAGGACCGGAACGCTATTTTCGCTTTCAAACGGATAATGGACAGTTTCGTAAGGAAAGGCGTCTACAAGACGGTACTGTTGTTGGTAAGTGCTTGCCTCTTTTAAATCACTTTCCATATATTCACAATTTTGACCACCTTTTTTACATTTTAGGCACTGAAGCTTGGATAGATGCAGCTGGATTTTTACGCCAAAAGGACTATATTGCCGATAAAGATGGTTATCGCATATTGAAGTCGAAGACTGTGTTTGTGGGTTATAACAGACCAATTGACGTAATATTTAGAGAAACCATATTTCAGCAGACCTTTATAATAAAATACACTTTTATCCTGCAGGATGCCATCAAATCGACCAAATCGGTGCCGGCGCAAAATGGTGTGCTGGTTAATGGTCGTAATGGACTGCGTGGACACACGAACAATGCTTTGGATACAGCGAAGCAAATTGCTGTTGCATACACAACAACTACAACACCGTTGCCGTCCATCATTAGCGAACCCATCGTGCCGCACGATCCAGCTTCGGAAGCTTACGATGGCAAATTAAATTATCTTTCCCCCGCAGAGGCGGCGAATATACAGCCTACAGGCAAACTAGGTTTTGATCACTACCCCGACGAGGTACCACGTCTACTGCAGCGACAACGTGAACGCATACAGAAACCCATAGCCGCCCCTTATGACACACCCGCCAGCAATTCGCTTACAGATTATAATCAAGAAGTAGCGCAAGCGCAACGTGAGGGCAGTATTAGTGGAGCATTACCATTGCCCGCCCTTGATATGCAACCACCGTTACTTGGCAGAGGCGCCACACGCCAGCGTTTGCGTCCAATTGCCGTTTATGACACAACGCCAGCGCCGATCACGGCCGCCGAAGCTATCGGTTATTCCACACCCACACCTTTTTCTGCCGCCATAGCGGGTGAGAGGGCGCCGAATACTCAAGGTTATTACTACCAGCACTCGTCCAAACCAGTCACGCATACGAATGCTGCCACAACAAATGCCTTGGAGATCAATCAGCTCCAAGACGGTTTACTGCCACCATTGCCGCCGACAACACATCGTCGACAGCGACCACCAGCTGCGAATAGCTTAAGTGGACCCGCAGTGCCGTATGACGGCGTTGGCGTGACAGCTAACGGTTTCCGTTATTTCCTGCCACATCAATACCACGAAGAGGAGCAATTTGCGGATGAAAAACGTGCCGGCAGCTTTGGCTATGTGGATCCATTCGGTATACGCCGTGTGGTTTACTATAATGCATCTCCGGGAAGCGGTTTCGTGCATAGAAACAACAATCGTTATGTGGGTCTGGGCGGGGCACCTTACGATGCCGTCGTCTGATGCAGAATATGCAGAAAAAGTAGGCGAAAATGAAATATAAACAATGTCAAACATAAGCGAAGCTCGCAAATTCAATATTTTACGTGCGGCTGATGTCTGTCTCACCAAACAACTCAAGAACGAACCGATCCAAAGCAGCGAGTAACTAGCCAAAGAGTGGATAATGGTGTAATGTTTTAGCAAACTCATAAATATAATATATAATAGAATAGCAAGTATTTGAAAACAAAACTGCCGAGCACAAGTCAGTGTTGCATACTCGTCCGTGTTTTTGCTTGCAGTTCGCTATACTCTGCCTGACATTGTTTGTATTTTCAGCGAGTTCACGCATACAAATACCCTGTGTGTCTATGTGTGAAATTATACATATGTGTCTGTGTTAGTTTGATATATATACTTATATAATTTAATGAAAATGATAAATTAATTAATTTATATAATTTAAATGTCTTTTGTAACGAATCGTAACGGCTCTAAGCTGTGTACTCATTGTTGCGTAAAATGGCATCGAACGAACGAGCTATAATTAGTTTAACGAAATCACATTCATGTATTAATCTTGCCATATTAACAAAAAAAAAAGAATTAAATATATAAACAACAAGCGACTAACATATTTAATATTATATTAAAATTAATAATAAATTATTGTAATTACAAAAAAACTCATATTAAAACAAAAAATTAAAAAATTTGTAATTAATAATAAATTAGCTCCAGCAATAAGTGCAATAGAACTGCAAAAAAGTAGTTAAAATAATTTATTTTAGCTTTCTTTTCATAGCCGTAGAGTGAACGTAATTAATAATATTATTTAATTATTATTAATTTTTTTAATTAAATATATTTGCATTAAACTTTTATTTAAACAATTTTTTTTTAGTTTTTTATCAATTATATTTGCATTTAATTTTTATTTCAAAATTTATTTAAATTTTTATCAATTATTTTTGTATTTATTAATTTTTTTTCCAATTTTTCATATATTTAATTGACACAACAGTGCATATTATAATGTCTTGTAATCTTGTGCGTATTAACCTGTGGATGTTATGAAACAACAGCGATTGAATAATGTGTGACGAATGTGTTTTTGTAATTATGCACATAATTTCCTTAAATATTGTACATACTAAAAAAATATATATGCATATGTAGGTATATGTAGACATTTTCTCCCCAAAATTCCTGATCAATAGTTGTTTATTGCAATTTTTTTTTAATCTCGCATTTTAATAAGCTCTTCTCTTTAACAGCCGATCTACTCACAAATTAAATTAAATCATTGAATAAAATAACTTATTATGTCATATGTATGTATGTATGTAGTTTATGTAAATGTGTAATGAACGTCCGTTGCCGGGAAACTGTCTTTGTGAGAAAATGCTGCAGGAGAAATATACTCGTACATGTGTGTAAATGCTATAATAAATATTGTGTAATTAAAAATTAATAACAATGCGTACTTCCTTATTATTTCGATGGAATAGAGTTAAGTGTTTTGGAAGGAAATGAAAGTGAAATAAGTGAAAAATTGTTTAAGGATGTAGGAGAGCGAATAAAATAATATGGTACTTACGGTATCAATAATTGTATGAAGATATAATTTAAAATAAATACTTGATATATAATAATTAAATAATGAGATATTAGTAATATGTATAACCTACAATACATAAGATTATTATATTACTAATGCATGATAAATTCAATATTAGTGCACCCATTGAGGCAGTTTGCCAGATAATGGACTTGAAACTTCTATATGTATTATGCTTGTATATCAGCGGGATAGTGCTTTTTTCCATAAGGATACCCCATTTAGGTCTACAATATTGCTACCTTTAACACGTCGTCTTAAAAATAGTCTCTTGTCGACGCCGTGGATAGTTTCTTAAATTTTCTCGACTAAGTTGACACTTTATAAACGAAAACCAGAATTTTTAACCAACCTGATACTCTTACCTTGGCAGCCTTCTTAAAAAATATTAAAAGAATATTTTCTGCCACTAAATCAACCACAAAAACAAATATTACTGAGAAGTAAATGAATTCATACCTTCCGTAAAGAAAAACGGACATCTGTTGTTTTTGGCCATATTGCATTGTTTCTACTTATTTAGAAAAACATATTGTTTGCCGATTATTTTATCTAAATTCTAAATTAATCAACCAATCAAATATTTTACCTGTCAAATTTCAATCGTCTTCGCTTCTTTACTCACTCAATGCCACTAGAAGACGAGGCCAACCAATTTCGAAATATTTGTCTGGTCGATGTTTCAGATACTAACACACAGTAGAATGTAGAATATGGTAAATGCTAAGACTTTTATTTAAAAATCTAAATTCTAAAAGGCGCCGTCGATTAAGCTACAAAGTATGTCGAATTACATGTGGTAACCGCCTCTAACAGTTTTCATGTATTCACCTTAAATATTACTAGAGCTATCTCAGCAAAACTTGGTGCAAATTTCGGATATCACCACCTTTTATTAACTAGTTTTCATTGAAAGTATGTAGTGAGGAATCAGTAACAATCACGCCGTTATATTTATTGTCTAAAACTACAGATTGCTCAATACATATAAGGAATTATCTGGCAAGGACAAAATTAAGTGTTAAGATCAGCAAAAAAATTGAAGTCCATATTTATAAAAAAAAATTTACGTATTTTCCGTTTATAATAAAAAAGTCAAATATAATATATGAATCACACTATTATACTTCTACCATATACAAGTATGATACATTAAATTTGCCACGAAGTTTGGTTCACCCAGAAAGAAACGACGCCATAAAATATAAGAATATAAATAATAAGCAAGACGAGCTGAGTCGATTTAGTTTTATTCGTCTGTGTGTATGTACATGTACGTGAACTAGTCGCTTAGTTTTAAGATATTGATCAGAAATTTTGCACACGCCCTTTTCTCGTCTAATAATATTGTTCAGAATTGTCGATATTACACCAAAGGCTTTAGGAGGTTCATTGTGAAACCTTCGGCATGAACATTTGGCTCATATTTGGATACACGAGTGTAGTAGAAAACAGGTCCGCTTGCACATAGCCCCGCTACGGAAGTACCTTATTACGGAAGGTGCCAGGTATCTGTAAGCTCCGTTCGAGACTGGGATATTTAAATTCAACTAAATTTGTCATAGAGGATGTCAACGGTTTTTGCGAACTTTAAGAGAAACTTGATATCTTATTTTGATACTTCATCTAGTCTCTTGAACTGCGAAGGCCCTAGATATCTAAGACGAACTCTACATAAGGCTGGACAGAAGCAAAGGATATGTTTCAGAGACTCTCATGCCGACACGCAGGATGGCACTTTTGGCAATCTTATCAGAAAATTAGTTTCCCGGAATTCCTTGGTGGCTTGAAACCCACTATATATATGTACATATATGCAACCGATTTTCGGCAGCCACTACATCAACAGCCTCGCGGAGGGTTCTTTTATGCAACATGCAAATGCTCCGATGAAGGGTTTTGTAGCTTCAGTGCACCCGAAATAAAAGTTCTTTGCTGTTGTTTTTTGTGTACAAAGAGATAACTATGTAGTTGCAAATAGTGGAAAACTTATTCAAGAAGACGCAAATAACGACAAATTTAAAGATAAAAAGAAATACTTGGTAAATTTTTCTTTCTGTTTTCCTGACTTAAAACATTTCTCATAAATTTGAGATCATACATAGGCAGCTTGAAGCTACTGGGAATTCCCTTATGTCGGATGACGTAGAACTACAAGATAAGCTTGATCTACATCAATTAAAAGTGGAAAGGCTAAGTTATTGATAATATTCTCTTCTTGGTACTAAAAATTCTCGTCAAACAACTAACCCTGAGTATTACTGGCACGAACGGTAGGGGAGCCTAGCTCAAGCCTGTTTCTTAATAATAATATACCTATACTAAGCATACTGATCTACATTTTTACATAATATATAATGCAGCGTGTAATTCCCACGCTTCTCAATTTCACTTCGTATGCCATATTTACGCTCAATAGTTTAGTCACGCTCTTTCAAGCTCTCTTTTTACGTACAAGACTGCAACTTCTCTGAATTTTTCACACACGTTCCACAAGCTCGATTCTTATCACAACAACAAAAGTCATAAATTCACTGAAAAAGATAAGATAGGCTCTCCTTATCTACCAGCGCGACTCTGGCACTCTGGTGTTTGTGCAATTCCACACCGGCGCTTCACATAACGGCACTGCGTGATAAACAATTCAGTAGTTAAACGGCTCCCACAGAAAGTGCATATTTGGCAGCGGTTAGTGCGCAACGTTAACACAATGAAATTCCCAAACTTTGCAATCGGATTGCTCGTGATGGTGTGCCATGTGCTTAACGGCGCAGAAAGCGCAAATATACTCAGTTTATTCGAGGTATTAGCGCCGGATCAACAAATTTGGTATATTTTACTGCAAACCAAGCCAGATTAAATTATTTGTATTTTGTGTATATGTGCTTGTGCGTATTTCTAATTTCTGCATTTTTTCACTTCGTCGCAAACTCGATTAGGCACGATGCCGTTATCAAGGGTTTAATTGAAAGCGGCCATAAAGTTACGCTAGTCAGCGGCAGTACAGTGCACTCGAAATCGCCACACCTCACACAAATCCATCTGGAGCAGGTGAAGGAAGCATTGGACGCCACTAATAATATACACAGCCGCTTGGTGAATGCCTGGTTGAATCCCTTCGAGCGCATCTACCATTGGTACAACAAACAGATGAAAGTCTGCCAGGCTGTGCTCTCGTCTAGTGGACTGCATGAGCTTATCGCGCTCTCCAGAGGCTCCGGCATGGAGGCGCCATTCGACGTGATCCTCTTCGACGCCACTTATGGCCATTCCTGTTTGCTGGCGCTGACACAGCTATTCGAGCATGTGCCCATCGTGGCAGTTAGTGCGTCGCACATCACACCGGATTTGTTGCAAATTGTGCCTGGCACGCAGCTGCAACCGGCCACTGTGCCACATTTCACTAGTACACACAACGAACGCATGAATTTTTTCGAACGTCTACACAACACATTGATATACGCCTCAGCCCAATTGTGAGTCATTGCGCTATATGCCAGCCTACTCTAGACATACATATATACATACAAACAAATTCAAAAATATTTTGTTTTCACATTCTCTTTCGCTTGCAGCTTTCGTCAGTTCACGGTGTTGCGCGTACAAGAGGCTCTCTTGGCTAGGCATGAGGCATTGCAAGCAGCTCACATAAAGCCCACTTTTGAGAGCGTAAACGATCGTGTTAAAGTCGTGTTGGTTAACAGTCATCCAGCGTTTGATTATGTGCACTCGTTGCCGCCGAATGTAATTCAAGTCGCCGGCTTGCAATTCGATAATATCAATCGGCCGCTGTTGGTGGAGATGCAAACATTCATTGACGACTCCATTGAGGGTATCTTCGTTATCACCATTGGCGCTGACCTGTTGACACCGTTACTCATCGAGCAGGTACTGAGTGTAGTTGATAAATTCCCTGAATATGGCTTCGTGTGGGGTGTTAAGAAGATTATGATACCGTCGACTGGGAGGAAAAATCTCTATGTGGGAAAATGGTTGAAGAAAAGCAATATTTTGGGTAAGTATGAAATTTCGAGTATGTGATTTCTTTAGTCATATGACATTTGACAAACAAAAACGCTGGATCTATATTGTGAAAAATAAAATATTAACAATTTTGTTTCCACTATTAGACAGTTTTAGCAGGATATGAACTGTCTTCGGAACAGAAACTGCTTCGTTTCGAATCGTGTCTTTGATACGGCGAGCATCTTAACCTTACTTTGTTACTTTTACACTAACGAATGCATTGCATGCCTTTTTAAACCCATGCACCTAGGATTGCGCCAAACTTTGAGATTTCAAAGTCATTACCTTAACCTCATAACTTTAGTTTGCCCCAGGTTTTTTAAAGAGTTCATCATTAAACTCATCAACATCAAGAAAACATACTCGTTTATTCCTGCACTTCCTTTTGATAGTATAAGCAGTGCAATGGAAACACTAACCTATAATCAATAAGGAGCTTCATAGATCTAATAAAGGAATTTATAAGTATACCATATAATAATTTTGTAGCCGTAAAGCTCAAATTGCGTATTTATAGGTAAATGATGATCATAACAAGATGAAATTCATAAGTATATCATAGATTATTTCTTGTTAGATATTTCATGGTTCAATGGACCCTATAGCTTTGAATAATACGATTATTAACTAGATCGGTTTAAAAATTCATGGAATATTTCTTTGGGTAACTCCAAGCTTAGTTTCAGTCACTATAGGTGCCCATCTAAAAGTTATCATTATTGAAGTAGAATTTTAAGATTGTAAACCTTAAAAGCAAAATATTTCTAAAATCTTCAATTATCACCCATATCTTACAGCACAAAACAAGGTGATAGGCGTAATTACCGGCGGCAGTCATATGGAAGTGCAGGAGGCTATCTACCACGGAGTGCCCATTATTGCAATAACTAATACCTTACAGCCGCCTAGTGTGAGTTTGCCTTACTTCTTAACACTACTTACAGTGATCGTAATTATAATATTCTTTAAAATATAGATCGCCACACGTGTCCAGTCCTTAGGCGTCGGCCTAAGCGTGGATTTAAAATCCGGCGCTGAAAAACTACAGAGCGCCATCGCAGCATTAGCTACGCAACCGCAATTCACAGAGAACGCAAAATCTCGCCAAGTGGCTTTTCGTAATCGGCCACAAAATCCTCTCGAAGAGGCACTCTGGTGGATTGAACACGTCATGGCGCATCCTAATGAAAGTGGGTATCTTCACTCGCAGGCAGTTGCCGAAACGGGCTTCTTTGCTTTGCATTCCTTGGACGCCATGTCTGTGCTTCTCTTCATGTTGGTAATGTTCTTGGTGAATACTTTTATTGTGCTGAAACAGCTGAGAGAACAATGTCAGGGCAAAAAGTCGGCGACGAACGGCGAAGACAAAGAAAAAAGTCTGAAACGTAAAACGAAGAAGTCAAATGACAGTAAGAAGAAAGTGCAGTGAGGTACACTACAATCAACAAAATTAGAAATAAATATTTAATTACTTTAATAAATTAATAAAATAATAGAATAACCTCGCTATAATATGTGTTATTTGAAAAGTTGTGGTCACAAAAACTTGGAAATTCCAAAATGCAGACTTAATCCGTTGATTTTGGACCCTTAAATCTTCATCTATCGGAGCGTGGAAATATGATTTATTTAACTGAGTGGCATGAATTTGTAGAAATAACTTGGTTGTGTCGTAAGTCGACTTTAACGATTAATGCATTAATCCTCAAACTACTTTTTGATATACTTACATAATAGTTAAACTACTGTACTTAGTCCACATGCGTGTAATCATTACTTCCCTTTCCTAGTATGTGTAGTGGATAAATGTTATGATTACAGATTACTCATCGTAGTTAGTCTATGAGGAGAAACTGAACTCTACCTCTTTACATTCCAAAAAGGAAAAATATACCGAAACAATGTATTACGGACTCTTGAAAATATTATTCCGTAGTTTTAGGTTTGTCAATTCAGCGGAGTTCTTTCTACTGATATAAAAAAAATATACCATATATTCCAGACATTGAAAAGCTTTTTATAGGTTGTCTTAGTTAAATACGAAGCTGAACGAAAGCCGCTAATATCTGACTAATCTTCCAAATCTTTTTCATGGAGGAACTAATGTAGATGCATATCATGAGGTTCAGCCAGTTTAAGAATAGTAAACGGGTGACAATAGAGACTAATTCTAATTCTAATCGATCGATCTATTAATGGTCGTATATCTTGATCCCAATTGATTCCAAAGCAAATTATCAGGGCGAAAAGAGTTTCTTTGAGTAGTTGAAAAAAACTATCTAGCTAATTATTACGAATAGCAATAGATACAAAATATGCTTGGGCTTTTCCGATTATAAGGACATTTAAGTCTCGAGGCAGACTAACCTCAATAAGTACTTATACAATTTCTTGCATTCTTGAGTAAATCTACATATTACTAGGATGTTTCATTAAACCGAATGTAAAAATAACAATAAACATAAACACTTGCTGTTTCCGCATGCGCTATGTCTTTTGAGCTTTTGATTCTCTAATATTTGATAGTATTCATTAATAGCGTTCTATAAATGTTGGGTATTTTTGTTTTAGGGGTAAAGAAATATAATCCAAAACTAATTGCAGAATTTTCCTGAGTTGACGATCCCAACTCAATGGCAATTTCGGGTCTTTCCAGAATACCGTTGGAACAGCGAGTGCTACAAACGTTAGAAGTTTGATGGGATTTTGAAAATATTTGTATATCTTGCATTGAGAACAAACTATTACTAAAATGCTCTTTGATACCTGTAGAGTAAAATTTCCATCAGTCATTAAATGCTGCACCTTGGTGGTTACTAAACTATCTCGTTTTAAACGTTGAAAATCCCTCTATATGAGGGTTTATTACGTTTTTGAACCGATTGTACACGCTTCACTAACATTAATCTACTTTACAAAGTAGGGTATTAAAAGTTCGTAACTGCAGACGAAATTCTAAATCGTTAAACATGCTCTAACTGGAACTTCACACATACATACCGTAAGCTTCGTGTAATATCAACAGCTGATTCGTGCTGTTTGCTCTCTTTAGTGGATGCTAAGCTAAGCTTAAATCAACGCTAAGTTCCACAAGTAAACAAAGTGAGAACCATTGTGGAAGCTAGTACTAACTCTCATGTTTATCTAACTCTGTGAAATATATGTAAATACATTTATATATTTACGTCGATTCTTAACTCCTTTACTTCGCTACGGTTTGCATTTATTTATGAGCTCAAACTTGGATACACACAACCAATTATATGTGGATCAATCAATCTACAAGTGAAGCGATATATAAAAACAATGGTATTTCCATGCTATTCCGCAATGTTTTCGTTAACCGAAATTCATTTATACTGTGGCGGTCTAGTGTTGAGCGGTCTTGATCTTGATCGGCAATGCAAAAAGCTGTGATTTTGGATGCGCTTGCTGTGCTTGAGCAACGCAGCATGGCAAGAATAATCAGTAGCGCACTTACAAAGAGATATCTCTCGTCTACAGCAGAGCGTTCAACGGCAAAAGCATTTGCTAAACCTTATAAAGATATACCGGGACCGCGTGGACCCTTTGGACTTGGTATACTTTATCAGTATTTGCCCTTAGTTGGACGCTACTCATGGCTGGAGCTACATAAGGCTGGCCGTGATAAGTACGTACAATATGGGCCGATCGTGCGTGAGACTATGATACCAGGCGAGGATATAGTGTGGTTATATGATCCGACTGATATTGCGACTCTGCTAAATGAGCGGGATTATCCACAACGACGCAGTCATTTGGCGCTGGAGAAGTACCGTAAAGATCGGCCGCACATCTATCGATCGGCGGGCTTGCTACCAACGTTAGTATATTTGAAAAGCGACTTATATTGCTTCTAGCTGTGAGTAATTCTCTCCTCTTCTCGTTACAGCAACGGCGCGGAATGGTGGCACCTACGCTCAGAACTGCAGAAAGAGATCAGCGCACCGAAGAGCGTACGCAGCTTCCTTGTCGACTTGGATTTGGTCACTCAAGAGTTTCTTGAATATCTACCGTTGGAGTGCAGCTTTGACATACTCCCAAAATTGGCGCGCTTGAATTTGGAACGTAAGTCTAGTTTAATTTAAGTGGCTAAACTTATGCATAGTGTGCACAATATTATCAAGTCTATTTCGATCATCGAATACAGTTACCTGCCTAATGACTTTCGACGAGCGTCTTAATGCCTTCTCACCCGACGAACAGCTACCCAACTCACGCTCCACCAAACTCATGCGCGCTGCGGAAACTACGAATAGCATCATTTTACCTACCGATCAAGGTTTGCAATTGTGGCGTCACTTCGAGACGCCCAAATATCGTAGGCTACGCAAGGCGCAAGAATATATGGAGAGTGTCGCTATCGATTTAGTGTCTCAAAAGTTGGCGTACTTCAAAGAGAGCAAAACGAACGGCGATGGCGATAATCATGATGGCACCATGTCGCGCAGCTCATTGATTGAAGAGTACCTGAAGAATCCCAATCTCGATCTCTGTGATGTAGTCGGCATGGCCGCTGATTTACTATTAGCAGGCATTGATACCACTTCGTATACGACGGCATTTGCGGTATATCATATCGCCAGGAATGCTGAAGTCCAAGCGAAGCTAAAGGACGAAGCATGTCGTGTATTGGCCACACCGAAGACACCCTTGTCAGCTGATGATTTGCGCGCAGAAGTGCCTTATACACGCGCCGTGCTGAAGGAGGTTTTGCGCTTGAATCCGATTTCAGTCGGCGTTGGACGCATACTTAACAGAGATCTGGTGTTAAGCGGTTATCATGTGCCGAAAGGGGTGGGTTTTTGTTAAAGAACTCAAAACGGCATATATTTTAATAAAATTTATTTACAGACCGTGGTGGTAACACAAAATATGATTTCCTGCCGTTTGGAGAAGTACTTTCCCGATGCACTGCAATTCAAGCCCGAACGTTGGCTACATCGCAATCAAGCCGTTCATCCCTACCTAGTGCTGCCCTTCGGTCACGGCATGCGCGCTTGTATAGCTCGTCGCATGGCTGAGCAAATACTACTCGTTTTCATGTTACGTGTAAGTCCCCATTGATCATTGAGCCGCAAATCTATATTACAAAGTGAATCTGTATTTTTTTTGCATGAAATTTCCATCTCATTTGTTAGTTGTTGAGAAACTTCGAAGTAACTTGGATGGGTGGTGAAGACAAGGTGGGTGTGCGGACGCTGCTCATCAACAAGCCCAGTCGGCCGGTAAGCATACAGCTGAAGCGACGCGATGAGACAAGCAACGGAAATTGATTACCGATTCAATAAAGTGATTTTCTGATTAAACAACAGTGCTTGTATGTGTGTATCTCGGAAGAACATTGTAAATTTATGGGTGAAAAGACGTATCTACATATTGTGTAACCATTCTTATTATAATTATTGTGAAGATTGTACTTATAGTTAATAGTTTTTGTTTTTTTTTGTATGGAAATTAATAAAGGGTTATTAATAATATAAAGCATAAGTCGATTGTAGATTTAGACCTGTTACCCGTCTAAAATTAGGGATTCCGTATGGAAAATTCCGAAAAAAATACATTTTAAGATTCAAATAGATTAAGTTTGTAAAGATTAGCGGCTTAAAACTGATTAAATTGGGAAAAGTTCTATAACTGACACTCTTTTCAGGGACTTTTAACCTTGCCGCATGGACTCCATTTGAACAATGACTCGCAACTTAAAGTCTTTGTGATTGTGTAAGTACTATTAGCTGACCGGCGCTCGCTAAACTTAACTGGAACTAGACCATGTGGTAGTAAACCGCCGAAGACAAGGCAGCTTCGACTTAGTTTCTGTCTGCTAATACCGAGGCAAAGCTGCTTTTCTTTACAAATTTATGGATTCTATTATTTTCCACTATTTTCAGATGAGATGAAGGCCAATAACGCCGCACTGTTATCAGAGTGTATGGTCACTTCTCTCAAGGGGGCTGCACTATGAAGCAGTAGATTTGTTGGTACCTTAATGAGGTGGATACCAGATTTGCTTAAAAAAGCTTAAAAAATATAGGAAAAGTGTATAAAGTTAAAAGAGTGAACAGACCTCTTTACGCTCTTCTATGGAAGTCAGGCGTAGTTGAAGGAATATTTCTTAAGATAGAAATACCGATTTTCTTCAAGAAGACGGAACGATTTCCGAAATTTGTGATAGTTGGCCGAGCCTTTTCTCCTATATCCTGTTAGTTGTATAAATACCGATTAGTGAAGACGTTATAGGTTTAAAATGCCTCCGTATGTCGAATGGCTTTTATGAGTATATTTTTTTAGACAGAATATTACTTAAAGCTCTAATATTACCATATGTGCTAGAGGACGACTAACAAAAAAAATCTTATTGTCTACTTTTTCAAGTTTCAGGCTGACCCACTAAGCAATGATGGGCTAGAATAGTGGAAAAAGATTCCTAAAAGACTTATACTTATATAAGACTGCGTTATAAACGGCTATGGTCCCCCAGGACGTACGTAACGCTGGTTTTTCGATATTTTTAACCGGGTTGAAAGTCTGGTTGAACTCTCCAACACTCAAAATATTCAACGCCATATCAAGTTATAAATGCGGTAGTAGTTACCTACTACAACTTTTCACAATTTGGCTCCTAAAAACCTAGGTGCGTCGTCAGACATCCACATACCTACTAGGGTAAAGGAAGGGTAAACTGATGACGTGTTTTCTGTTCCCACAGGTCAAAAATACTAATCCAACCACTTATAGCTTAAGTTATAAAATACCAATACTTGTAATGCCGAAACCTTCTACACCAACGACATTGCAATTAAGTCTCAGGAGTACTTTAGCACGTGGCCCTCATGGAAAAGGCAACTTCTTTCACTTACGTTTCTGTGTATTTTTGACGCAAAATGCTGTTAATATGCGAAGGTAAATATTGTGATTAAACGCTTACCACGTGAACTTTAAAGATTTTGGTATAATGTTGCTCCGAATCCAATCGATCCGCTAACGCAAAGTAATATTGTTTATTGATTATTTTGCTATGTTGGAGGTAGTCCATGAAAATAATTCCATTTAAGTCCCAAAAACATACTGGCTACACACTTATTGACCGATGAAGAATATAGATGTTTCGTTTGTAGTGCGATCTCACCAAAGGCCAAAGATGAAGCTCATGTAGTATTTTATTATACCAGTCTGTTGGCGCTATATCAGTTACTTGCCCGATTCGTCACTTTGCAAAGTTTGATAAATAGTAGATATGTGTATATATTTTCTAATAGTGTCTAGATGGAAAATAGAGCCTCATAGCAGATCGCTGCGGCAATATTAAGCGCTTAGTGGCAGTATTATGACTGAGATCGGAAAAGTGACCATATATGTATAAGTATGCATGCATAAACTCGGAAAGCCGCAAAAATCTGCTTCAAATATCAATTAAAAATCCCAATATTATTATTATTTTTTTATATATGTATATATTTTCTTTACTATATGGAATTTATTGATTTAAATACATACATTTGTATTTACTTATTTGCACAACTTAGACTCGTATATATGTATCTATGTTTGTTAGCATACAACTCTGCTAATGGTATGTATGTATGTATATGTGATGTTAGCTGAGTCTGATAATAGTTACAAATAATATTTTTGCTTTTGTCGCTTTCTCACACTACATTTCACGTTTTCTAAATCAATTTCGTTTACATACTTATATACCTACATATATATACGTTACATATATAATTTGGAATACAAGTACACTAAGATCATTGTTTTTTGTTAGAGTATCATTGCTATAATCTTTATATGGCTATAATATTTATAGCTTTAATTTCTTTAAGGAATAAACTTATCATGTTTTTTATTCTAAATCGTAAATCACTAATTATATTTTGTTTTCTAAGTAAATACAAGGCATTTGGAAAATTCTTTCGACTTGATGAACGCATCAACAGTTCAAATATTAGGGTGTGTTATAAATTATTATTATTTTTGATCAGAATGAAATGTATAGCACATATGTATGGTAAGTAGAAATATTTAATATTGCGTGACTGTTTGTATGTATGAGTTAATTTTTTAATATATTTAATAGTAATAAATGCTTTTAATTGACAAGTCAAAAATAGAAATGTAAGAAAGTATAGCTTTTTGTGAAAAGTAAATGCAAATAGTACAATATATAATTTCTGTTGACTTTCATATTAATAGCGATTAATATATGTGCATGCATTATGGTGGTTCTTAAAACACTATTAAATAATTTTTTTAGTATACTTTTCCAAAAGTGTAATTAAGTAGTAAAAAACGCATATATAATTTTGTTTTTAACTGATTAGAAACGGCTTAGAAAAGGTCTAAAAATTAAATAAAGTATTTCTTTTTATATTTTAAACAAGCCCTAATCGTCTCTAACCAATACCAAATACAAAAAAATTAATGATTTAGCAGCAGAGTTTCCGAAATTCTGTTAAAAAATTTATATTCCTAGCACTTAGAACCAACGTAATGTACACACATACACATGTAGATGCCATCATAAAAAAATTTAAACTTTTAATTATGAATAGGTGAAATTAGTATATAAAGTGTGTTTCTGTTGATTTTACATATTAATACCTATATACATATGTATATATATGCGTATAAGGGTGGTTTTAAAAATAATGAATAGATGTGTTTTTAGTACCAATAACGAAAATTCGATAATTATTAATTAAAATGTTTTGAAAATATTTCGAAACGGCCAAAATATTAAAAAAATAAATTTCCCATACTCACTCTAAGCATCTCCAGTCGCACCATTTTTTTTTGCAATGTTTTTGTTATTAATGCTTATGTGTATATAGAATTAGGGTGGTTCTTAAGAATTAAAAAAATATTTTTTACTGTTTCGCTTCCAAAAACCGTCAATAATTTAGCTAAAAAAGTCTTGAATAATATTTCGAAGTTATTTAGAAATGACTGAGGCGTCTACAAAATATAAAAAACATATTTAATTTTTCAGCTCATACACACCCTAACAACTTCCAATTGGCAACAAACATTTTTTACGTTATCATTCGTTCATAGTAATATTTTATTAATTTTATTAATTTTATTAGTGGTTCTGTTTCTAAATTTTGTTGAAAACTTTTATCTGTCTATCTTTAAGAACCACCCTAAAATAGTTAGTGTCTACCATAAGAGCTATGAAAATTCCCTAGAGATGTACAGTGGTTGTCTTAATATACTACCAATAAGTGTTTTAAAAAATACAGTTTTTTGTTACTACTTTTTGTCTGCAACAACAAACAATGGCTGACATTGCTGATCTGTGATCCTATCCAAGATTTTTTATAATGCACATACAACTTACACTTACTTAGCACATATATATGCATGTACGTTAACTATAGTATACACACTTAAGACTAGCTTACAGACACAACGCTTATGTGTTGCATAAATCTCGTACAAAAACACATTCAAAAATTACACTATAAGGACTTTGGTTATTTCACTTATACAAACACATACAAATCTACACATGTATATGTATAGAGTTTTCCATGTAAATACATACAATACAGTTGGGTCATATAGTTACATAAATACTCGTGTCTATGTAAAATAGAGTGGAAATCTTGTATTGCAATTTCAGCGCGTGTGTCGGCGCTCTCGTCTCTATGCCATGTCAAACATGCGAGCGTATTTTCAACGAAGCACTTCGTCTACTTTCGTTTATAACACTACTGTTCTGTCTGCCGCCATTGTAAACTTAACACAACTTCTCGCAGTTTACAATTCCAGCAACAGAACTTCCTCATGCTAGAGTATATTCAGCGTGGACGAGTCCATCATTCGATCGTCGTAGAGACTGAGCGTCTTGGAGGCGCGCACTTTACGCACTGAAGGCGGCACATCGCCCGGTGTTTTCACACGTTGACTAGGATCGCGTAGTCGCTCCGTGCTGCCACGCCCACTGAACACTTCGCGGAACATCTCAAGGCTGCGCTGTCGCCGAAACAGTATGTCGGCGTGATTGGGCGCGCTGAGATGGCCAGCCGAGTTGGCAGCCGTTGGCGGTATCGCCTCCTTTGGACACTTTGCCACATTCACTGGGTTAAGCTCACTTTTAGTGAGGTTATTATTATTACGATTCATATTTTTTATCAGACTGGTGGAGAGGGAACGCGGCACCACGTGACAGGGCGTACTTGTGCGTGTGTCCAATTGCTGTAGACGCACTTTAGGCACGCTATCGTGACACTCCTCCGCAATACTCTGTATTAAATTGGATTTGTTGTAGGTGGCGCTGTTAAGCGGCGTACTGCACTCAGCGACCGGAACTGCAGCACCATTGAGAGGACTCAAGTCGAGATTATTGGGTCGTCTCGTATGCGGATAGATATCGCTGAGCATTGTGGTTTTTAATGTGGCAACGCCATTGTTGCAGCGCTGTCGATCGTCGATGTAGCTAACGGTGGCTGCTTTGGCCAGCCTTTCGGTGCCGGTGTTGTCTAGTCCCTTAATTACCGCCGCATAACGATTGTCAACTAAGTTGGACTTTTCATCGCCATAACCGAATTGTTGCTGGAAAACGTCAGCGCCGACGTCACTCTTACGAAAGAGTTTCTTTTGTATTAAGGCACGTACGCCATGCCAACCGCGCAGCTTTCGATCGGTGTTGTGTTGTTTGGGGAAGCCTTCACCCATGCTGGAAGTATTGTCAGTCATAAAATTGCTAATCTTCTTCGTGCTACCGCCAGAGATTAAATCCTCTACTGAAACGTCGTCTTCGAGGCATGAGAAACTATTCTCTTGACCCGTCTGAAAGCTATGCTTCTTACTTTTCTCAACCAGAATTTGTGGTGGACGCGTTGCGACCGGCGCCAAGTTACGCTCCTGACATGGATTGCGTCCCTGATATGGTTGCAGTTGTTGTTGTGTGTGTATGAGATGATTTTTCTCTGTCTGCGGTGGCATGCCACCCAACTCACTGCCCATACTATGAGCACGCGGCAACAGCTTCTGATTTGGTGGCGGCTGCAGCATTGTTGCCGTCTCCGATTGACATGTTTCCATAGATATACGTACCGCTGATGAGTCGACATGATCGACAGCAAGTAAATTGTTGGCGCTCAATAACGGACTAGGCGATTGTGCGTGTGAGTAGCGTGGCCGCAAACCAGCTGCTTCTTGCATACGCTCCTCGGCGCATAGCGAAGTTAAACGCGCCTCAGCATCATGATCCCAAGAATCCTCACATGTGTCTTTAATTAGCTTAGCCGCAGCGCCACCACCCCAACCAGGCGGAAAGAGTGGTCTTGCTTTGTGCCGCACTACCAACGCCTGCATCTGATCGAAGGTGGGATGTGTGCCGACCTCTTGTTCGTAGGGCGCCTTATAAGCTGGCGTCATTTGCGCCGGCGCATAATAGTCTGTACAACGAGTCGCCACTTCCCAGAGCACCAGCCCCAACGCATACACGTCCATCTGCTTGAGCGATGTCTCACAGTCACGTAAATTTACAGCGCCCTCTAAAAGTTCAGGTGCCATGTAACGTAGTGTGCCGACTTCATTAATGCTTTTCGTTTCGGCGACAGCAACTTCGCCGCGATATTCATACTTGGAGCCGAACACTTTTAGCGCAAAGCCGAAATCGGCTATGCAACATGTACGATCGGCTTTGACGAGCACATTACGCGAGTTGAAGTCCCGATGGGCAACGCATGGTTTATACTCATCCCCGCGACTTATCTCCGTATGTAGATGTGAGAGACCCCGTGTAATGGACTTCGCCATACCACAGAAGGTCTCGAAACTCATAGTATTGGCTATAAGCCAATCCTGTAAGCAGCCCAATGGAGCTAGTGATAGCACCAACTGATATTCGATTTTACCGTCCATTGTGTGACGCTCGTCATAACCTAAAATACAGAAATATTAAGTTTTAGAAATGTGTATATGGAACATGGAAGGTAATAGTTGTAATATGTGTATGAGTAGAACAATTCCAGGGTTTTCACTTACTTAACAATGCCACTATTATTCCTATAAGATCCCTGTAGCATTTGTTTGCCAATATCAACTTCAACATGCTTTATCTCCCGCAATATCTTACATCTAATATTATAGTTATTTAAAGTCTAGTATTATCTGAATGACCATCAAGTCGACGAATAAGGTCTGAATTTTTTAAAAATATAAGGACATAAGGTTGGATTAAATTGTTGTGGACGTATTGACACTTTCTTTGGTCAAGCTTTATCCGATTGCTGTTCATAAAGCAAGGCCGAACTGTGTCGAAAATGGAAGATATCGAGGTGGAATAATAATCTACGCAGTTCCCTCTGGACCAAACCGATGTTGAGAGAATAGGGTTTGAGCACCTTGGACTATCCCAGCAATCCAGGTCATAAATTGGTATTAGAATAAATAGATTTCGCAATTTGTTTGGGGCTAGAAAGTTCGCTATATGGGTTTATCAGTGATATTAGCGCATGAGTGTTTTTCGTAGGGAAATGCTTCTTGAGTAGTGGATTCATTGTCGCAGCAATTTAAAATAACTTCAAAAATCTTAAAAACGCAAAAAAAAGTCCTCTTTCGTTATAGTGCTTTTCCGACCCTTCAAACTTGTCCCATTATCTTGAAAATACGAGCCTACTAATTAATTAATATACCTCCTGATATCGACTGAACTGACTTAGTAAGCCATTTAATTTCAAAACTCGTAGACCCCTTACTTTTCGTACTCACCAAAGTATGTTAGCAACGAGGGACTATCCATCATAGGCAGCGAGTAAATGTTCCGTTCATTAATATAATATGGATAATGACTTTCCGGGAATATCTTCACAGCCACCTCTTGATCGTGCAGTAAACCCTTCATAACGGTACCATATTTACCATTGCCGAGCATGCATATCAAGTTAATATTATCCACATTTCGCAGGTTCGAACTATAACCAGGACCGGAAGGTGCCAGTGGTGCTTCCTCGGGCATGGTTTTGTCTTTAATTTTGTGCACATAACAGTAAGCCGCAAAACTGCTAACCGACAAGCATAGAATCAATACAACAATCACAGTCAGAATGACGCCCACACCAGCATCGCCAAAGTGCATAGAAACATTTTTGTCAGCGCCATAAATGGGTTTGGAGAGCTTTAAAGTTGTTGAAAAAAATTCGTTCATTTACGAACTGGGTTTAAGGTACTGAAATTGAATGCCAATATACCTGCAAGGGCGCTGGTTCCACCACGGCCACATTCTTATTACAGGAATCACCCGAACAGCAGCAATAGTATAGAGAATTGTTGCGTGATGTAGGCGCTGAGCTTGTGCACTCCGACTGACTGCATGTGGCATTGCGTTCGGTGCTCTCTTTCCAACAACCTTAAAACAAAAAATATTATAATTAGAAGTTGGAACAAAAAGAAAAAGGTGGGAAAATAAGTGGATTTAAGTTCTTTAGTTTACCTTGTTTCTCGATACGTGTACCATTCGGATATTGCCGCCAGAGTGCAAAACAAAAAGTATAATCAGCCTGGCAGATGCGTCTATGCGGCGCTGTCGGTTCAATTGGTGTGTCTTCTACGTCCAGTGAATTCAAATTCTCTGCACTATATTGCGCCTGCGCGCCATTTGCTGAATATTCGTCAAAGTCATCATCATCATTTATGAACTTCTCATCTTCCATATAACTCATACAGGCGAACGGATGCTCAGCTGTGAGGAAAGAAGAATATTATTTGGTTCTGCGATTTGGATTATTATATTTAAGCTTACGTGTACTCGCTCGAACACCGGCGAAAAGCACCAAACAGTAGACTAGTCTTAGAGGAGACATTTTATAGCTGGTTGTGTTTGCTACTATTCGAGGTCCCAGTGGTTTTTAATAACAAAGCGTCGCAGGCATTGTATGTATTGCTAGAAAAATATACAGAGTTTATAACTGAAGCAAAAAGCAGTTGATTGGTGCAGTTATTAACAATCAATAATCGGAAATTGTAGAGATCAGTGGAGAGATGCCTATTATTTTGGCTACTTGAAATAGGGTAATATGTTAATATTGGTACACGTTAGACTTAGATGATAAACGTAAAGAAAGATATCAAACGAGAACTCACAATGGTTAAAAGACTCTTAGGAGGACCTCAGGTGCTAATTCTTTACAGTTTTCAGCCAAATGTGATGATAGTTAAACTTGTAAATGACTAGCAAATCGAATTCATTATGATCAATTCATCTTTCGCAGTTATGGTTTGTTCGATTCGCCACTCTCTAACACGCAGTCATTGTTGGTCAAACCAAAAAAAAAAAAAATACTGCAAGACCTGATTACACCCATTAACCCTTTTTTACAAGCTCTATTAGTTCAGCACTAATCTATATACTCGTGCATACATGTAAGTCACCTAAAATCGTTAAATAAGAACTCACACCGCTATGTTTCAAAACAGACATAGCGATACGAGAGTAGTTTTAACTAAGAGATTTAAGACAATGTCAAAGAGCAATGAGCAATGAGCTAGTGACAATTGAAAATTGCTTCCAACCTATGCATGAATTTTGAGAAATATAAGTAATTAAGTTAAATTTATTATTAGTGGAAACAGGATTGCCTGAGACTAAAATGTGAACTGTGTGAACGAAATTGTGCACTTCCGACAGAAATTTTGAGGCTTACGAGAGAACAAAAACTAGTCAACTGACAATAAAGGCGACCGGTCGTTTGATTATTACATCGAATCGCTTAAGATAATGTAAAACGGAAGGAGCTCCATTTGATCTACTATGCCTTAGCTTCCCTAAACTTATCTCATTCAACGACAAGCGCATAAAAGAAACCTAATGTGCGCCTGAGCTTATGGAAGTACTTCCTTTTCGGATACGTCATTGCGATGTTTCTATCCAGTTTGGTTCGATGTCTTCTGCGCAAGGCCGCAAAACCGACAGTTTTCAGGTGACCAAATCTCTATTTAATGCATGTTTTACTTCAGACTTCAGTGGCCAGTATACACCGCTTAAAGAAGTCTAAATTTTTTCTCTAGAGACGCTGATAACCAGTCTGAACCGTTTCAGGTTGTACCCGCCCAGAAAAAGCTGCACTTTTAACACCTACTTACGGCGTAGACTTTACGACTGATAACGACGACAACTATTAAAACGCTAGTCGTTTATGTGGATCCAAGAATGCACAGCAAATCGTTTTTGGGACTTTGGTCGGATATATAATATGTAAACGTATCTACAATACAGAAAAGTCTGACTCGGAGCATTGTACTAGTATATTAAATCAGGAATGTTTTTAAGCTAAAGCTACCACACAAAGAGGTTATATAAATTCAAATAAATAAAGAATTGATAAGCAATAAAGATAATGTGCCAAGAAAGTCTATATATATAGATAATTTCATATACAGCGTTTATATTTCCTCCAAGACTCCAAGTAAATGTGATGGTTTGCATCGGTTTAAAATTACTGCATTTATGCATTATCTCATTCATACATGCATTAGATATACACAAAAGAATGAATTAGCTCTATTATAAAAAAATAAGTTATATATATAAGGCTACAAGGTTCATCACCGCTTTTCGAATCAACCCTTTAAACCAAGGTTGACAGAAAAATAATACTTGTAAGTGAGGTTGCTGCGAGTCAAATCGAGGCTAGTGAACTATCACGTGAGCGACCCCGCTTTGAGGCCCACTTTCTGTAAGCGAGATAGACCAGAGTTTCAGTCCACAAAGGAATCAACGTAGGTTAGTTCTCTATAGAGCTCTCATAAAATATCTAAATTTAAAAATTTATTCTAACAGTAAGGAAATACAAATTGGCTGCAGAAAATTTTTTTTTTGACATTTTGAACCAAATGTCGGCTCCAGGACCAATCTTAGAAACAATCTTTTACAATAGAGGATATGGAACTTGAGGTGTCTTAATCAAAAAAATAAAATACACGATTTCTATGAAAAGCTCGAAATTAAAATTTATCATAACTTGAAAAAAAAACTTTTTTTTATAATTAAATTACATATTGTTGCACCCTGTTAAAATTTTTTTGTGAACAAACACTTGCAGCAATATTCTAATTTGCTTCAATGACTGTTCTTCGCTGCTAATTTATTGTAATATAATATATTACGCATTAATGTTAATTCCCAAAAGCAGAGTATGAAAGTATGTATGTATTGTACATGTGTGCTTATGGTATATAATGTGCGCGTAATTATTGCGATTATAAAATATATCCAAGTGAGCACCTATGTATGTATATATGTACAGATACACTGGTGGCTAACCAAATCGTTTTAAGCAAATCTTTATTAAAAAGCAAAGCATCTGTCTATATAAATATAATATAATTTTCAAATGTATCCACGTAGCTACACATACAGACATACAAACTTATCAAGGAACTCCAGAATAATTATTCGTCGACCATTTCTATTTCGATTAGCTGGCTACAATTGTTGATAAGCCAACACATTTAGAAGTACAGATGTACCTATATATGTACATACATACATATACATATGTATATGTATGTAAGTAGGTATGTAAGCGTGTATGAGAGGATGTACACGTATGTATGTCTCACCCTTTTATATATATATATATATAACAGGGTATATTAAGTTTCCCAGGAAGTTTGGAACACTCAAAGTGAAACTTCGGAGACGCTATAAAGTAAAATCTGTCTGTATATACACGGACTAACATATCAGCGATCGATCTGAAATTTCGCACATGTACTTTTCTCTCCAAGAATCTCATCATTTGCAGGAATCGAAACCGATATCGGACCAACATAGCATATAGCTGACATACAAACTGGCCGATAAAAATAAATTTTTGCATGGAAAATTTTTTATTTAAAAAGATATCTGCACGAAATTTGACATAGATGATTGCACAAGCCAACGCTACAATATGCGTAAATATTGTTGATATCGGATTACTATAGCATATAGCTGCCACACAAACTAATCGATCAAAATCAAGATAAAGAAATTTGTACACCTTTTTATGCCAAAAGTCGGCGCGCGACATTAACGTTTTTTATTGTTTTTTTCATAAACTTTCATATTGTTAAGTTTTAAGAATTAAACAGTTATTTGTAGTAATATTTTAATTTGTAATTGATTGCGCTGCCGATAAGCGATTTTTTATTAAATTCAAAATTGCGTTTTTTCGCACAACACTTGCACCTTTATGCTGTGCGCCCAGCAATTAAGCGTTGGCGGTGCGAGTTGTGCTTCGAAATTTAACGATTTACGTATATATGTTTTCATATTTACATACATTTATATATATATTAAGAACTTATAACTCAAACAAGTGCTTAAGATTCATTTATGTATTCAGCTCAATCAACTAAGCATTTAGTCCCCACTTAGCATTTATTAGTCCACACTAAACATTTTTATACTTGAAATCTTTTAAACTTTTACGAAAAATTGTAAAAAATTTTATAACAAAAAAATCGCAGAAAGCTTCTGGCAAATCGATTGTCCAAAAAATAAATTTTCTTGTTGTTTACCGATTTTTATTTCAACTTTTTTTTTACTTCACTACTCTTGCTGCTCTCTCTACACACACATTTTCATAACACTTGAATTTTTTATTTCTATTTTTTCATTTGTTGTTGTTTGTGTTCTTAATGCCTGCTTTATACCGATTATTTCATACACACATATCTACACTTTGCTCCACATTTACGCATTTCATTTATTATCACGGCGTTTTTATTATCATTTTAACTTTTTTCGCCGCAAAATGTGGTGTATTCGCCGTGTTGTAGCGACTCGTCGCAAAGGGCGGTAGAACGATCCATGGGGTGGTTAGTTGGCTGAAGCAGGGACAGAAAATTAAAAAAAATATAATAATAACAAAAGAAGAAGTAGAAATTATTGCATGCGAAACAAAAAATTCTCAGACGATAATTCATCTATCTACATACATAAATATATACATGTTTTTTTTTTATATATTTATATTTGTTTGCCTGTATTAAAGGTTGAATTGCAAGTCTAGGCATTAAAAATTTGAGCAAACCATATTTAAAAACTGGTTAGCACATGCAACCCCCTGCCGCTGCGTTGCTTGATATGCACACACACATACAAACATATGCACACATGGATTTGCCAGCAAGCTTTCATTCTGGCGCCGACGCTTAATTGCCTTTGTCGTCGTCGTTGTCGTTGTCGTCGTCCCCGTCTTTCATACACATCGGCAAAAAAAGAAACAATGAAATGACTTGTCTCACATTTGTTTATCTCGCCGTCTACTGCACCGAGTAAAGAATTGCATGTGTAATGCGGCATACAAAGTATTATTCACTCGTTGCACATTTGCACTTTTTGCTTATGATTTTGTATTCTTCACAAACGAAACAGCCCCGCACGCCCGCACCTCTTATAGGCAACACACCTCATTCTGTCAGTCATTTGGCCAGACAGTCAAGTCAAGAGTTCAGCGGTGACAAACTTCGTCTCAAGAATCACACACAGTACGCGACCACACACTTGACAGTGCAGTTAGCCAGCGATGGCTCACACGAAAATACCAACTCGACGTGGGGGATTTCCTTGGAGTTTCTTCTTCACCACCGTCACTTGCTAGCTGCTTCGCTTGATGCCGTTACGCTACTGTGCAGCTGGCGTGTACACGAAATCGCGCGGGGGGGTTCTCGAATCTGCTCTGCTGGAGTGGGTGGCCGCCTAAGCGCCGCATAATAGTTTGGGCGGGTGGTTCGTCGTCTGCTGTTGGCAGTTCGCTTTACTACAATGCAATATGCCTCGGTGCTGGCTCTGCTGATGACAGCTGTAGTGGTTCAACGGCTGCGCCGTCAACTGCAGCGCCGACTTCGGCAACCGAATGAAGTAGCAAAGAATTGATTTTTCCAAACGCGTTCAAAAAGCAACTTCTTTATTTTTCGCGTTGCAAATTTTGCACTGCCATTTTTTTCACGCAGGTGCCACAAAACCAAGTACAATACCGTTAATCATTGTGTGGAAAATGGAAAAAGCTAAGATATTTAACTACAATTTGCACTCACTTTTTGCTACTGCTTTGTTGTTTTATTGCTGCGCGTTTTTCATACAAATTTGCGTCGCACTCATCTATTATTGATTTATGTGAAAACTTTGCGTTTCTGTTGGTGTTGTTGTGCTACTATTTCACCATATGCATCGCTGTCTTTTATTCACTTATTTATTTATTTACTTTGTTGTGCTTATTCGCTGCTTGCAAATTTATGGAAATATTTCATTTATTTATTATATTTATTGTTACTGCGGTCGGACACAACAATTTTACCCGGCGCCAATGATTTTTTGCAATTTGCTCGCTTCTGCTCGTTGACGTTGTTCGTCTACAACTGATTGCGGCACCAGCGATTTTGTGCTGGAGTTGAACAGCCAACGGAATTCGCTCGTTACTTTGCTCAAGTAAATTGCCAAACGGTTGGTGCTTGTAGCGGCGCGGAGGGTGGTGCTGTGTTGTGAGCAGGCGTAGTATTATTGGTTTGCTCTCTCGTCCTCTCCGTATTTGCACCGTTTTCGCTCTTTACAAAGTGCGCGCTACAAAAGCATCTATCAGATACTTAGCAATGCTCTGAGATACAAATGGTGTTAGAAAAGTTTTTTAATCAGTAAACATAAGTGGCACACCGTGGTCACCCTGTATCTCGTAAGATTTTGGTACAAAGTTGCAAGCGGCGCTTTAAAGCTTTTGCTAAGCAAAGTAACACTTTCGTAATAAATAAGTTTATTTTAGGTAGATTGTGCTATAAAAAGAAACCAGTACTTAAGCGATTCATACTTTATCTTTTAGTATAATATTTAAAGGTTCATTCATCTTGAGTTTACGAAAGTCATAAATCAAATCAAAATATTTTTTAAGTAATATTTGTATTCTTCAGTCATTGTCTGAGCTTTTGACCAATCCGTCGAGTATCCATAAATTCGTGAAGCCGCAGTTTTTAGACTTGCTTGATTTGGCGCATGAATACGAACAACACCCTGAGTCAACAAAACATATTTTATAACATAGTTTTGGAAAATTGTCATAATTCCTTAGAACGTTTAATAATCGATAGTCTTAACCAATCGATAATTAGAATTATTAAATACTAATTTTACCCCTCAACTCATCATTTAAATAAAGTTCTAATAGCGACATTTGAAAGCAGTAAGTGGAGTTGACAGTATACGTTAACTAAAATTGGCATAATAATCGACGACTCCAAATATCTATTCGTAAAATTATAACCCGTAAGAAGCTGACGTTAAGACATACTGATTATTTCTGTGGATCTAATAGGATGTCTGCAAAGCGGTGACTCGGCAAGAATTTAATAGAGTCACTAAATAATTATCGCTCAAATAGAAATTTCAGTGTAGTTTCGTGTAGTTCGTATGAGACCGGTATAAATTTCTGATACGATCCGTGTCTAATTAAACTCTTTAGAATTTGCACTGCCATATCTTCCTTTTGACAATTGGCAATAGTAATTACCTTTCCCAATGCTGTTGATCTGATGACGATTAATTATTTCTAACTAAACTGCTTGAGGCTTATATCAAGGCCTAAACTTTTTCGGATTTTTTCAAAATTTAAGACAACCGTTTCATAATTGCACCATAGTGGCATGCGGGGTATCAGAACCTATTGTATTGTGGGTTCAACCAGAATGACCATAGACACGTTTTGTTCATCAATTGCCTCTAGAAGATAATGCACAAAGTTCGCAATTATGAAAAAATAAACATTTTATCAACGATAAAGTGAATAACTGTTATAACATTCAAACTCGTGGTTTCGAATCAGTGACGCTGCAGTCTCGTAGGCGGCCTGATTGGCTACGAAGACTCAGCGGCATATGAGCCGGGTTTAACAAAATTAGAATCCTTCAGAGTATTGACAAATATTGTCCCATAACTTTTTAAACTCGAAACACCTTTTTTATTTGGTAGTTTTTCCGAAGAGATAAAGTCAGACAGAGACTTAGAGCCGATTTTTTTTTAATTTGGAGGTAGTCATTTCAATCTTCATCGGCATATTGATTCACCTTAATAAATAATTGGCGATCACTATTCCTTCAAAATACGTATTTCTTATAATATTCCTCATATCAGTATAACAGAATCCAATTCTTATTTCAAACTCATGCTTGGACTTTAAGTTCACCGCTTTTGTACAAGAGTCAAATATTCTTTATTATATTATAAATAAAAGTTTTCATTTATAGTAAAAAAATTAAGAAAAAATTGCAAACAAATTAGATAAATCAATAAGAGTTTACACTTTAAAGTGGTATAGCGGGTAAGACCTTTCCAGCACAATCACCAAAACCAATGCGAACACCGTTCCGTGCGCAGTGACCGCGAATAATCAGCTCATCGCCATCCTGCAGGAATTTCCTAGTAGCACCGCCCTCCAAATTGATTGTCTTCGAACCGCGCCAGCTCAGTTCCAACATGGAGCCGTAAGAATCCTCCGTCTCACCGCTAATCGTGCCCGAAGCCATTAAATCGCCGGGGCGTACATTACAACCAGTGACCGTATGATGAGCAATCTGCTGAAGGGCGGTCCAGTACAAATATTTGTAGTTCGACTTGCTGATAACAGACTCAGCGCTACCTTCGGCTAAAGCGATTGAAAGAAAACAATTCCAGAGAGAGTTGAAGAAATAAAAGAATTAAAAACTTACGTTTCAAAGAAACCTCCAGATTTATGTCAAAGTTAAATGGGCGTTCATGCTTCAAATATGGAAAGACTTCCGGTTCTTGTTTGAAATTGTCAACCAAGAATGGTTCCAAGGCTGCAACGGGCACTACCCATGGCGAAATGGTGGTACCCAAATTCTTGGCTGTGAATGGACCCAAAGGCACATACTCCCATTTCTGTATGTCACGTGCACTCCAATCATTCATCAATGTAAAACCGAAGACATTCTTCCACGCATCTTCAGCTGAAATGCGTTCGCCCAACTGATTACCTGGTCCACCAATGAAGAAAGCAACTTCCAACTCAAAGTCTAATAACTTGCAAGCGCCAAAAACAGGTGGCTGACCATCTACGGGTAAAGTTTGACCCAATGGACGGCGTATCGGTGTGCCGGAGACCACCACTGAGCTGGCGCGTCCATGATAGCCCACCGGTATGTAACGCCAATTCGGCATGAGAGCATTTTCCTTACCGCGGAACATAATGCCAACATTGGTGGCATGATGTATGGATGAATAGAAGTCGGTGTAGTCGCCGATATTGGCGGGCAGATGCAGCTCGCAATCAGTTTGTAGAATAAGCATGCTATAGGAAATATTCATAAATATTTTAAAGAAGTTAACAGAGCAGGATAGCGGTAAAGTGCTTACCTTCGAGCCAACACCAAGTTCTCTTCGAGAACCGAACCCTTCAGCAACAGCTCACGTGTGCGCGTACGCACCACATTCCACGCTGTGTGACCGAGACTCATAAGCAGATTCAACGAGTCTGAGTTGAGCGCATCCTAAATCGTATAAAAATGTCAGGAAATTGTAACGGTAATGCTATACTTATATAAAGTTTTAACGACGTAATACCTGCACTTCGGGTGGATAAAGTTGGGCTACGCCGGCGAGATCGAGCACATGTTCACCGATGGCGACACCGACGCGCTTGCGGGGCTGCAAAGAGAAATCAGTTTTTAATTACTTTTTTGTTTTTACATTTCAATGGAATTTTTGTAATGGAAGACGTCAAAAAGTTAGTTCATTACAAGGCAACACACATAACCACAAACGAGTGTCCGTCAAGCCGGTCTCAGCCACTACAGCTGGACCATTTATCCAGCGTTCAAACTAGTTTCCCACTAATTTATGTAAATATAAATCAAGATCGTGTTGCTTTGCATAAAATCTTATTTTATTTTGGTTTAACTGCTAAACTCGCATTCCAAATGAGGAAACTAGTTGAACTAGAATGTGAATTTTATGAGCCCAAAAAAATTTTTTTTCAAATGTCAAAATTACAAAAAAAATAACCATCACTTAGCGCCATTAAATCTACTCACATTCGATTTGGTTGAGAATACGCCATATGGAAGATTCTCCAATGGGAAATCACTTCCTTCTGGTATGTTTACAAAACTGGTCATCGTTCCGCTTTGTTTCACAACAAACTCACTGACAAAATTGGTTACTGAATTAACACGCCGCGTCTGAAAGTCGCTGAATGTGATTGCGCAAAGCACGAAAGCTGTAGCAAAGGCGAAGAAAGCAACCTGCTCGATCGCCAGTTCAGCGGCAACTAACGTTCGATTAGCGCTGAAGTGTGATCGCGACTAACGCCGGTTAATTACTATTTGCTCTCTTCAATCTCAGTTAGCTCTATATATATTTCGTGCTTGCATTTACTTATCATATCACGTTCTCTCTTGCCATTTTTTTCTGCTATTCGCTTATGGCTGATAAAAATATATTTACAAATCAACAACTAATACTCGCTGCAGCATTTGTGGCTGGTGGATGTGCTCCTCATTTTAAACTCATTTATCTAATATACATATATAACGCATATTTTCGGAGCCGGGAGAGATGTAAAATGTAAATAAGTGAAAAATAAAGGTTTCGAGCAGAACCAAATATTTCATACTCAGCGCACATTTTTTTTAAATAATATAAGCTTTTATCCCACTGCACCATCTGAAACTTTAATAAAAAAGGGCTGCTAGTAGTATCGTCTGCGGTTTCAACTGTTTTTGATGTCTCACCAAACACATTTTCTGTATGTAATTATCCAAAAGTTCTCAAATTATCGTTGTATTTTATGTTAAGCTTTATAGCTTTATCTAGACTTCCGAAATGTTCACCAAAAATTTTTTGATCTCTCTGAAATCAGTATAGATTACGATATCGGCTCTGAGGGAGCTTACTCACAACGCATGTGCCTACTTTGACAGTTGGTTTGACTGCCGGGCAGAGAACTATTTTTCTTTCTGGAACATGAAATATGATTATAATTTTCTATAAGTTATTCAGCATTCCTGTTTCACAATGATGTCCATTTTTTGGTACAAATAATAAAATATACTCGTATGTGATAAAGGTATTTCAACCAAATTGTACCTGCCTTCAATTAATATTTTGCTAGTAATTTTTTACAGAGTAGCATGCGTCCCTTTAATAGACATCATATCAAATACATGAGGTTAAATTATTCCCAAAATTATCCCTCATTCTAAATTTATACTATTCTTAATGATTATCATTTATTTCAACTGAAATTCATAGCAACTCACTTCGTAGTTCTTTGCCCGGTATTTGATTTATTTTTATTAAGAGGTTCAAAGTCATGCCAGGTGCGTTGTTTATCTAAACGAACTAGTTTCGAGTTAATTTTATGTAGAATGATTTCAAGTAATTTTGCATAAAAACTTATTTTGTGTTAGTAAAACTTTTACACAGTTGAATGAGAAAAACCAGTTTAATAGAAAAAAAAATATAAAAATTTCCATTTAAAATTCAAGAATTATATTTTTTTTAGCAAAATATGTGATTGAACTGGCGAACAGGCCCCTTATAATGTTATAAAATACTCACACATAAATACTAGAGTTTAGTTCTCTTATTTCTGCTTATTATTTCAAAGATTTAGAACTGAGATCAATTAGTAGCTGGTAGTATTAGTGGAAGGAAATCATAATTCTACAAATTCTCTAACCAATTATTTAGCCTCTCGAGTAAAAACATGATACCTGATTACATACTCATAAGTATGAAGACCGAAAATTCTTCAACAGCCATCATTATTTGTATTCAAAAGCAACACTAAAGCAGAAAGAAGTTGTCTGCTAAAAATTGTTTAAAAAACTTTGGCTACAATTATTATCAAATTCACTATGCGTGTGGTTTTCCAAACCTCCAAAGTGTGTTTCGGTTTGATTATAGAACACATGATCAAGCCTAACATTTGCTATTTGTGATTTTACTTTACTTATATTCAAAAAATATTTTTAAACGGCTTACCTACCTACCTACCTACCTATGGAAAAAAATAAAACATATGTTTACACATACATATTTATTATATATAATATTTACAAGCAATATGTAATTAAGCACTCGCCTAATGTATTCTCAATGGAGTGATAAATGCCATTACATATGAAATTGACGTAAAGTATACGCCGTGTTGGTCTTGTGGGGATTACATTGCTTCAATTAACGTGATTGGTAATTATTGTATTTGAATAAACTTTTATTGATAAATTACAGGTTTATTGTAAGTTAGGGAATAAAGTCAACTCAAACGAATTACACTGGTCTACAAAAACAATGTTTTTGTTCTTACTGTTACTTGCATGATGATAATAAAGCAGATGATAAAAAGGTGAAAGACATAATAGTGCGAATCTTGCAGTGCAAAATTATAGTTTTATAATCAAAAGTTTCAAAAAATATCAAAAAAAAAATATCTCATCATGGTAATAAAATTCAAGTTACTTTGTAGATATTTTTTTAAAATTTATTTCACTGCATTTTCTCTACAAATCGACGTACCGAAATCAGTAAGTATTGCTACTGTCCATTTCCAACTGGGAATTTAAATGACAAACTGCATCCAAAAACTTTATAAGCAGAAAGAGGAAGTAGGAAGCTCTGAAATGTAATGTCCGTAGTTTTCAGTTTTGTAATCACGAGAAAATTATAATATAAATTTTTTAAGACGGCCAAACCTCTTTTTATTACTTTGTCCAACTTTTAAGTTGTTCATGTATTTGCGGACATACAAAATTTTGCTTTACTATTAGAGAAAATTGTCATTTGAGATATTGTCCTTGTTCATAGCTTTTACAAAATTTTTTATGAGCCCCAACTTTATGAAAAAAACTCAGTTCTTGAAGAACCTCTGCAGCATAATCATGGTACAAAATATTAAATCATCTCAATTAGTAGGAATAGATTCAGAGGATGAAAATCTGTATATATAGCTAAGAAACAGCAGTTCAGTTGACCTTTTATGTTTCACTCTGGGCCATAAGGCTTTCGCAACCCCACACGTGCTGATTTCTGCTCGTTCGCATTCTTATGGAATTTGGGTATGACTACCTTTTCTTACAACACATTTGCTTTACAATTTCCGACGATTCCGCTGTGACCTTTCCACCATACTAGTTTTATATGGAAGTAGCTTGATGCTACTGCTAGTGAGATCATGCACTCATCACACTAGCTTTGTGCTCACTTTCACCTCAATTTGGCAGAAAAATATACTGATTCTTGACATTTTGAACGAAACTTATACCCTTTTTTTAAATTACTCTGATCGTTTGACAAATCATTTCGTTTATAACGTTGGAGGTCACAATTTTATCGCCATCATACTTGAGTCAGCATTAATCTTTGATAACTTCTTCAATGCTGACTTTATTCTTTTATTCAAGATACCGTATATCTTTATGACTCATTTATTTAAGCTTACAACAAAATTGTAAACAAGGTGGAGTCGAGTCAAAATTTCTTAAAATATATGAATGTATAATTTAAGCGGCCCGCCTAGTGTGAAATTGCGAAACCATTATTTATGTATAATATTATATTATTTAAATATAATATGCATATTTCGATAGTCTATATAAAATTTTTAATTAATATTTCAAATATTTTTTGCTCAAATAGTTTATCATTAAACCCGTTTTTCTCAAAGTAAGTGAGCGGTCATACTAGGTGGGCCACTTAAAGTTAGGATGGATTCTGATTTATAGTAAAATGAGACAGAAGTCATCATGTCTGTCATAAATTATTATTATTGAGGTTAGGTCAAAATATTTACATATGTTTGCACACTTACATACTTACAGTTATCGCCTTAAACCAATAAAAATTTCGTTTAGAATTGACTTCACAACATTCAACTATATAATCATTTATTAATTTCATTAAATATTTGTTATATGCTGGAGTTTCCATTAAAAATACATAAACATACATATGCATTTATGTACATAGTCAGCTATATTGATAAGCAAATAAACAATTTGCAGTAATACTTTTTGCAGTTTGCTTCGGTTTTTCGCCGTTGTGTAGTCGCGAAATGGACAACTTCATGCTATCGTCATTTATTGTTGTTTTATATATTCAGCTACACACTTATAAAGTTTGAATATTAAAACGTGACAATATTTTTGTTATTTGCTTAGTTGAGATAATTATGTAACTGAAAGTATTTGAATTATTTTCTTCATTATTTGGTTATTCAAAGGTAGTAATTAAGTGACATTCTCCATACTAAACGAATCCTTTGTTTTGTAATTTTTTATTCTTTGAAAGAAAACAAAGTCGAATGGCAGTTAACAACTAGATTATAATACAATACAATTACAACAAGTACAAATACATACAATCAACAGGCAAGTAATTAGAGAAAAAAATTAAGTGCATTTTTATTTATATATTTGTAGAGATATGTAGTTATATATAATATGTGTGTTAATAATTTGCATTGCTGCCTTGTGGGTGAGGGGGGTGCGTGCATTTTTTGATTATTTAGGTGCATTTAAAGACAATAAGAAAATGGAATACGACACTTAATATGCATAATATGCATTTCTTTTAACATTAAAAGTGCTGAGGATTATTTAATATTATTTATTATTAATAATGTTTTTTGACGCTTAAAGTGGTGTCGACATCAAAATTGGTTACTCGCTTAGGTTTGGCTGTGCTCTGAAAATTTGCTCCCTTATAAATATGTAGTGTTGGACAAACACTTTGAACTAAACAAAAAACGTGAAATGACTGTTTAATATTTTACATGTTTGGATTTTATAGTGTTTCTGTTGCTAATTCTGCTTCTGTTGCTTTTTCTGTTTCTGTTGTCCGCAGCTTTTGCGGTTTGTTTTTATTTAATTATTATTATTTTTTGATTTTTAATTGTGTAATATATTTTGTGTGATTTACTTAACATTTTCTGTTTTTACAAACTTCTTACATTCATACATATACATTATTTTACGATATGCTTCAATTAATGCCGCTAATATTTATATTTGTGTATTACTCGCATAAGTCAACTTTGATATTGTCTTCCAAAACACTTTTTTTATTAGTTCTAATATAAGTATTGCATAATTTACTTTGCGCTATGTCGTTGTGGAAATTCTCGCCAACCGCACCGGACTGCAGTTAGTCACTGGCGTGTGGTTGCGTTAAGAATTTGCCGTTATTGTCAGTCACAGCGTAGATTTCAGCCAAAATGACAAACAAAAAAACACTCGCTTCTCGTTTTTATGTGTGAAAGCTGTGCCTCTTTGCCTGAGCTTTCATCAAAATGAAATAATAATTATTTTAACTTAAATCATTTCATTATTATTATTTATATTAACTGTATTTATATATCTTATAATTTTTTTTTATAATTCTGCTACGTTAAGCTAATTTCTGTTTTGTGTAATCCCCCTTAAGCATTATTTAAATATTTTATATAATTTATTTTTATTAAGTATTTATATGTATATATTTTTTGTTATTGTAATTTACGTTTGGGTCAAGTGTACAGTGTTTCTTCCAAAATTTAATCCAAAATTTTTGGATTTTTCAAAAAGTTTATATTTCTTGCATATGAAAAATGTCTTCCAAAACGATTTTTTTCTTGCAACTTTTTTCTATTATTATATATTCATTATTTTCTATACAGTGTATGCTTATTTAGCATTTGTCTTCCAAAGGATTATATATTTATTTTATATATTATTTATTTCTTACCTTTGGCTAAAAATAATAGACCTATTTTGGCAATTCTACTTCTTGTACTTGCATTTTTTATAAAAATTTATATTTTCTTAAATATTCAATAAAAAACAAGAATATTTAAAAATTAGTAAAAGCCTAAAAATGCGAAAAATATAATATATAAAATTATTAATTTGAAAAATCAAAAAATAAAACATTAAAATTACAATCAGTTTATTCAAAAGTATAAAGAAAAACTACAAGTTTTAATTAAAAAATAGAAACATATTTTATAAAACAAATATATATTTTTTAAAATATAAAAATAAATTAACTAAAATATTGTTTTATACTTACAAGGTACTAAATTTACTGAACTTTTTACGTACTTTAAAAAATATAACAATATTATTTAAAAATTAAGTGAATTTAGGTGTTTAAATCATCACTTTTAATGCAAACAATATAAATTTTAAAATTAAATTACAACATAAAATTAAAGAATTAATAAATTTTGTAATAATTAAAAAAGAAAACCAATAATAGATATTAAATATTTAGAAAAAAAAATTAATTTAAAAATTAATTTTTGTAAATTAATAAAATGGTAAAAATTTTTGAGTATTTTTCGCGTGCTTCAAAAATACTCAATTATAATTAAAATATTTTATGAATTAATCTTAATTAATAAAATTTCAAAATTCAAAAATTGAAAGCTATATTAATTTTTAAAAATTAAAATTTATATTGAAAATTAATAAAATATATTCTGCATAAAGTTTACCATTTATATAATATAAATTCAAATTACAATTTAAAACATAAAAAATATTTCTTAGATAGTTTCAATTTTATTAATTAAATTTTTTAAAAAATTTAAATTTTAAAAACTTTTTTTGAATACCTTTTTTTAATTTGAAAATACATCAAAATATGCAAAAGTAAATTAATAAATTTTAATTTATTTCTCTGCTTCACATATTTCTTTTACTTTATTACTACTTTTTTTTAATATTAAATTTTTGAAATATGTTTTGAAATTTTTGTTTTATTTGAAAATTTGTCAAAAAAAATTGAAAATAGATTTAGCAATTTTAATTAATATTTCTTTACTTCACATTTTTCTTATTGAAGTTCAACACGTTTTCCAATATATGTAAAATTATAAACATATAAATAATATTAGGAAAACGCTATTACCTAATTTTTTTTAAATAATAATTTTTTTAGTTTTAAAATATATAACATTTGTATGTAACTAAAATTGAGAAAACTCTATTTTTAAAAAAATATTTACAAATAATATTTATATAAACATATTTAAATACTTGTTCTTTTTTATTTAAAAAACCAAAAAAATCAAGCAAAAACCTTCAATAAACCAACAGTATAACACAATATTTTTTCAAAAACCTGCCTCTGCCTTGAAATGTTGCACAAAGCTTCATAGTAACGCTTTTGTTTTTTTAACATTTTTTTTTGTTTTCTTTTAACCTACAATTAGTCTACACTCTGAGATTTGTATGCCAGCTGGCATTTGTGCGCCTGCCACTGCTTGCAGCAAGCTACACGCCGCCATGCTGGCATCCTGGAAGCCCTTTGGTGATTTTGTTGTTCTTATTTTGCATTCACGTTTTTTCTTAAGAAAATTGTGCAACAATAACTGTGAAACAGAAAACCGTTAAAATTACTATAGATAACGGTGCATAACTACTTTACAAATGCATGTAAATATGAGCTATGTATTAGTGCATTAGAGCTTATACATTATGTGTAGATAGTTTGTATGTATACAGATGAGTGTATACATATACATATATGTATGTCTATATGTATGTATATATTGGCCTACATCACCTTGACAGCTATATATCTATATATGTTTGTATATATATATATCTCTGTACATGCAAGTGTCACATACTGTCATTTTCATCTCGTTTCGTTTCGCTTTATGTCTATAATTGTATTTGTAGTTGTGAATTTTTGTTTACATTAACTATAATTCAAATTAATTACAAATTAATTGATTCGCATAGGGATTGAGTTTTTTTATTTTTTTGTTTGGATGTTTAGTTTTTTTTGGTAATTTTTTCTTTCTTCTTAGCACGCTTCGTAGTTCTCCCTCACCTTGCAATGCCTTGCCACCATCTTGTGTGCCGAACTTTAGCGCATAAACTGCTATAAGAAAAACAACAAACAAACAACAAATTTCAACAAAAACAAAAAAAAAAAAAAACAGCAACACAAACAAATAACAGTGTAATAAAAAGTCAAATGTTTTGTGAAAAAGCTTTGTTATTTGGAGCATACAAATTAGATTTAGTTTTGAAGTTTAAAAAATTTGTGCTTACATATGTATGTGTGTTGCATAATTAATTACAATCATTGAACGTCTGTACGAATATATATGTATGTGTGTTAGGTGTCATAAACAATAACTAATGACCAATAACAATAAGTTGTTGGTGTTGTCGTCGTCAAAATAAATTTTAAACTTAGAGACCGCGCAGAGTAGTATAAACCAGCCAGAAATTTCGCACAACCTGGACACATTGTCTTGAACTGTAAACTTCAGTAATCAATTGTCACTTGTGTCTGTCCACATTTCGTTTTCAATTTGTTTATGTGTGTGTGTGGACCTTGTGATTGGCATAGTGTTTCGCTGCTCTGCTAGTCTTCTAAAAAAACGGCGCCAAGTCACAATTGCACAATGCCCCGCCATCGCCGGTTTTGCATAGAGCGGCGCACAGTTCCTTCCAGTCTGGTGTTGTGCTCTCATCCGACAATCTATTCGATATCACGATTTGATTGCCGTCCAATTGGCAGCTGCTACAGCCGATCAGCGTTGTACCGCCATGCTCACAGAAACTGCCACAAACCATATTATGTAATTCATACTGGCATGACATGTTGGAAAAGGCAATCGGAGCTACTTCTTCGGGCGAACAGTCGCAACTAACATCACCTATATATTTGGTATTTGGTAGAGAGTGAAAGAAAAAGAGAGTGTTTTTTAATTAATGGTCAAAGTGACGAAGCGGTCGGCTTTTGATTATAAAGAGTAAGCTTTTTTATAATGAGAGTTTTTAATTTTTTAAGGCGGATTAGGAAAATTTTTTTAAATACGACGGGAGTTCTATTGCTGTGAAAATTCTCATCTCTTCACTCATAATCTTTAATTTTTAGCATTTAAAAAAACTAACTGTTTGATTAGCACATAACGGCTAGAGCTTACATCCACATAAATATTGTTGTACATTTGTGAAAAATTATGTTATCATTATCATATTAAATTAGTTCTGCGCATTGTCTTTAAAACTGTAGACACCACTTAGTATTCGAAATATCAGTAGAAAGTATTTTTAAGCGTGTATTTTAGGTTGTTTTGAAAAAATGTTAAATTTGATTAACCTAACCTGCACATTAACGTAACCTTCAAGATGTTGAAGATGTATAAAATTCATAAAAATGCCAGCAGTATATCATACTTGTACAAGAAATTTTTTGGATATTATCACTCTGAATAAGTGTATAAATTCTTACGATGTTTGACATATTTACTAATAATGAATTCTAGGTATGGAGAGTCATTGAAGTCGAAATGAACTATAAAAAAAAAAGATGAGTACGCAGTAGAAGTCTAAGTAAGCGTAATAGATCCGCTTTTTTATTCGCCCAAGCTTTTCCAACTCGGCAGCATTCTTAGAATTATTTGCGGCGCCTCGCAAAACTAACAATAACGAATTATCTAATTCATAAGATGTTCCCCTTACTGGAGATACGATCTTCACAACATTCATTTATAAATAGTCGAAGATAATGACTTTTTTATAATTTAATCATTTTTAAAATAAAGAAAAAATAAGCCAGTTGAAAGCAATAGCAACACATACAAGTGATTTGTCACCTTTTTGTCTACGACTACATAAATTCAAAAATAGTAAACAATAATAATGATCATCAAACAAGTTGTAACTTATTTATATCCACCTGTTACTTAAAATCATCATGATTATGTGCGCTTCAGTGTTTTTCAAAATTTGGAAAGTGTGTGGAGTTAATCAGAATTTTTATGGTTCTCAGATTTTTAAAAGTATTATTTGTGGGAATTTTGAACAAAATTCAAAGTTTAGGTGTACCTACCGGTTCAATTTGCAGTAAATATAAAATTCCAAATTTTTTTCAAAAATTATTTGATTGAAAAAACACTCAATGCGAGACAGTTGCGCCGCATAAATCGAATTTTTTTCAGTTTTGAGGTTATATTACCCAGTTTACGAATTAAATTTTAAATTTATGTTAGCATATTTATAATCCATTTAACATTTTTGTACAGTATAGGGTATATTAAGTTGGCCACGAAGTTTGTAACACCCAAATGGAAATGACGGAGGTACTATAAAGTATATATATATTATATTAATGCGTGACGAAGTGAGTCGATTTAGCCATGTCCACTGTCTGTCTGTATATACGAAAATTAGTCTCTCAGTTCTTGAGATATCGATCTCATTTGTCGAAACCGCTAATATCGGACCACTATAGCATATATGGTAACTGCCATACAAACTGAACAATCGAAAGCAAGTCTTTGTATGGGAAACTTTTTTATTTGACGAGATATCTTCACGAAATTTGGTATGAGTTGTTTTCTCAGGCAACAATGTAATTTCCGAAGAAATTGTTTAGATCGGATCACTATAGTTTATAGCTGCCATACAAACTGACCGGTCAAAATCAAAGCCTTGTACAGAAAACTTTTTTATTTGGCAAGAAATATTCACTGAATTTGGCATTTATATTGCCCAAGACAAGGCTATAATATCTGAACATATTATTTGGATCGGACTACAATAGCATATAGTTGTCATGCTAACTGATTGATCACAATAAGAAGAAAGATCTTTTTATACCACAAGAAATACACCTGTCAAGAGTATAATATTTCTAGTTTTTAATAATTTATCAAACTTACCAAGCTGTAATCTGCAGAGATCCTTGCATATTTCATTTTTGTTGTCTGCAAAGTGTGGTAGTAGCGACGGCTTGTCACTGCTGTGGCAGTATGCAAGACATGGCGGGCCGCCTAAGCCAGCTCTGCAATTATCAAAGTAAAGTAAGGCTAAGGATTAGCAAATAGCTGCGTTTGTTATTATATTTATATTAAAATGCATTAAAACTTTAGCTTAAGCACACAAAATATAAGAGTCAAAAGTTTGCTTAAGCCTCAATACATTCACACATTTTAAGCTTATTTCACAACACGCTTCACATCAATTCACTTTTGACCTTAATGAAGATCTTATCACTTGAAGAGTAGTGTGCACTTGTCACCAAACTTTTGCTTTCAACTAATTGAATTATGACATAAGTTCATTTTGATTATTTTTTATATAGACACATATACATATATACAGTTATATACGCACTTAAACAACACAAACACACAACTTCTTTTTGCTTGACTTTTATGCGAAAAAAATATTTTGCCTTTTCTAATTTTGCTCAAAGTTATTTCAGCTTGCAGCAGTTGACTTACCCGCAGAGCTGCTGACACACCGAACTCCAATCCTGAACTACACTCTTCGGCGTGCTGATGTTGACAGTGAAAGCGTCGCCGTTGCCGTTGTCCTCGAGGCTCAACGTCGTTTGGTTTGGATATTCAGCGTTTGCGTGGTGCTTTGCAGCGTCAAGGATGCTACTTACATTGTTGTTATCAATGATGCTGCTTTTGTTGTTGTAGTTATTGTCATTTTGGTAGCTGCTTTCTTTGCGTACAACCCCTACGGTGGGCAGTGATGACGTCACAACGTATTTTACCACCGTTGTGGCAGGCACATGACGCGCCTGCGCCAAACCGATTGTGGCAACAACCAATAACAGCTTGCGGAAAGGAGATAGCGCCATATTTTCCATTGACAGTCGAGCTAAGGAGCAAAGCAGAGGAGTTAAATAAACTTGCAAACATACATAAGTGGGTAGTGGGTACGTTGTGTGTGGCGCCACCGCACTGTGGGCGTTGAAACCCATGTTGCAGTGTGAAGTGCGAGTTAGAGTGAGGGTAAAGTGGCACCTTACGGAGAAATATGGCTGTCAGCGGATGCGGCAATGAGGTGCAATCGCAGCCACGTATGCATGTATGTATGTGTGTGTGTGGTAGGTTGCAAACAGCAGCTTTTGTAAGGCGGGTGGTATGAGCAACATTAGTTGCAGGCAACAGAAGTTGCATGTGTGGTTTCACATATACATGTAAATATGTGTGTGTGTGTGTATTTGTATTTGTGTGTGTCTCTAACAATACAAGCAAACTATACTAACAATAAATGCGCTGCAGCAGAAAACGGGAAAGCACATATGTATATACAAAGGTGCATAGGTATGTATGTATGTGTAAGTAAATGCTACTCCATTCATTTACATATCTATATATATAAATATATGTATGTATATATTTGCAAACAGCAAACTAGCTATGTGTAGTGTGCGTAATTGGCGTTCAAATGCAATTATTGAGCGATGTTGCATGCAAATGATGGCGCTGCTGCTTTTGTGCTGCGCCAACCAATTGACGCCATTGTGTGGCGCTACTGTTGCGCAACATTGCAACACTTTGTGTGGGCAACGATTTATTGTACATTTTGTATTATTTTTTACTCGTAAGTAGTAGTGCCTGAAGGGTAACCGGGCGGCGATTTAGGTTGCCGTCTAATGGAATTATGTATGGACGAGTGTGTGGCAGTTCAATGCTGTATCCATAGGCAGCGCAAACTCTTCAATATATAAGAAAAAAGTTTTTATAAATATACACTTTTATGTTTATACATTTAAAAGACAATATTTACATAAAGTAGTTTTTTATGACTAAATTGGATCGATATTTCCAAATATTCAGTTTTTGACTATAAAAAATTTAAAATATACAACAATTAAAGAACAGAATATTACAGCTTCCGCTTTTGAGTTTTCATATAATTTCATTGAAATAATCTTTACTACAAATCACTTTATTTTTAAAGTTTATCTGAAGAAGTTCTGTATTTGTTGATCAAAAATTTTGGATCTCTGTTGCGCCAAAAAAAAACGGTACGATACCAATGTAATATGGACGATATATTATATTACAATGGAAATATCTTTCAATATAAGAGCAAGTCTGGTATGGTACACGAGGAAAAAAATCATTAGCACATTTAAGAAACTAGACGGATTTCAAGTATTCCAAGTATTTAAGTTGTATGCCACCAGATGCTTAAGAGTTCTACTTCTTCGTGCTATCTTGAAGTTGCAGATCGTCAGCTTAGTCGTAAGTTCATTTTTGAGCCTTTCATCTCAAGGTTCTGCACTCATATTCTAATCAGTTTAATCGATGCAGCTTCATTACTGTAGGCGAAATGTTGTGATAAGTACACACAATTTTTTTTCCGTTTAGATAGAAAAATTGCTCTCTTAATGACTTCATGACATTGAATTAATACACCACGTAACTTCTTTCTGTCATATCCCAAGGTTGTTTAATACACTACAAGTTTTGAATTCAAACAGCTCTTTTGTCCACCCTGTACATGGACATATGTATATACATACTTATCGTTATTTAAAGAATTATCTAAGTCTGCGTTTTGCGCTTTTCCATCACTAAGATCTACTATATATTAAGTTTGTTACGAAGTTTACAACACCCAAAAGAAACATCGAAGACAATATAAAACATTACATATTATATGTATATAAAGGATCAGCATGATGCGCTGCGTCGATTTAGCCATGTCTGTTGGTCTGTCCGTCTGTCTGTTTATTCGCGAATTACAATAGTTCGTCAGTTTTTGAAATGTCGATCTGAAATTTTTCACAAGTCCTTTTCTCCCTAAGAAGCTGTTCACTTGTCGGAACCACCGATATCGGACCGCTGCCATACAAACTCAACGAACAAAATCGAGTGCTTATATGGGAAGCCTTTTTTTGACGAAATATCTTCATTAAATTTGGCTTGAATTATTCCGTAGAAATTGTTCAGATCGAAATACTATAGCAATCAAAATCAAGATAAAGATCTTTTATACCCTTTTATACTATAACAAATGCATTGAAGGGGTGAAGGTGAAAGGTATTAGAGCTTGGCTGTAACTGAAGTTAACTTGTTTTTGTTTTCTTATATTCTTACAAATTCTTGTGTTGCTCTACAATTTGCTAAAGAAAGTCTATTTTGAAAATTATACCATTAAAAAGTTGTATATAATACTCGTATTTATATTGGTTGATCTGGAAAGTTGTATTTATATTAAGACTGTGGGTGCTTTTACTTCGAGCTATTGAAAACTGAGATACTTCATTGACTTTCCCTTGCATTGTAATCAAAAATACAACTATTATTCACCCAAAAAAATGTACTAAACCATTACTACTATATTACTCTATCCTACAAGACAACAACTAAATATAAAAGTTTGCATACAAGAACTTGATTCTAATCGTTCCGTTTGTATGGCAGCTATATGCTATAGTGGTCCGATCTGGAAAAATTATTCAGATAATGTAGTAATGCTTTAGATAATAAGAGTATTGCAAAATTAAGAAATTAGTACTAACGATATGAAAATAATGGTTGTCAAATCTTGTAAGAATACAAATAAGTATAAATTATTATATTGCATAGTGGAATGGATATTTACAATTTTATTTTCATTAATATGAACATTTTTTTACCAGAAATAGTTCTCCAAAATAGTTCTAAAACGTCTTGTGACCGAACATATTAAGCATATGCGAAAAATTTTGGAAGAACATATTATACAAGGGTATTTTTGGTCACCTCATTTTTACTATTACATCCTTTGTGAGACGTATCATATCTTATGTGACGTTTTTGCTATAAAAATTATTGGTAAGTAGTAAGTAACGTGTTACATCTGAATATCTAAATATGTATATATATATATATAGTTTATACATAATTTATATATTATTTGAACACTATATACTCTTGTGAAAAAAATGCTCATATTTGGAAATGAAAAAAACATTATTACCTGGTGGTAAAATAACTTCTACCCACATAAACAACACAATTCAAGCGGCAACATAATTCAATTTCAATTTTAAAACTTGCGTCAGTAGGCCTTTAAGTCCATTAGAAATATTTATTTTGTAAACACATGCGAGCTTCATCACCTCGAAATTCCCATAAAAAACCTACATAGTGTATACTCAAATATATATTCGAAGGAAAATACATACATACTTGTATGTACTTGAAAGCAAGAAAGAAAAGGGTAGGATACCTCTTTCCTGCGACTGCTTAAGGACAAGCTCTAAATCTAGCACAAAGTACCAACGTCAGCACGGAAAATCCTGACAAGGTCCTACCACGCTGTGACACATACAGAGAACACACGTAATGCTCGTATATTTAATGTGTTTATATACATATGTATGTATATACTAACAAAAATATATAAATTTGGTAAAATATACATATGTACAGCAACTGCCCTTTATGTCCATATGCGGTACAGTGGCTTAATCCCAAAATGTTGGATATAGTTGCAAAGTAACGGAATGTCCAAATATGTGACAGATGGTACTGAACTATTTCTTGTTGTTTGTTCGTATACGACTGACAGGTTTATTGATGGCCAGTATTTACTGCATCTCTGTATGCAATGGGTTGTTTTTACCTCGACTAAGAATATAGTATATATTTTATCAATATTTAGGTATTTTAAAATATTATTAATAATAAGTAAGTAAATTGAAGGTTTTATATATTATAGTTAGAACGATCCGATTTCGGTAAAATATGCACTGCGTTGTTCGATAACTTGTTCGCATTTTCAAAGTAATTTCAAAATACCGTAGAAAATCATAAAAAACATGCGACAGTCTATTCTCAGAAGCTTCTCTTGAAGAAAATATTTAACAAGCAAAAATTTTCGCTTAAACAGAAACAGATAGTAATCACTAGATTCCAAGTTCAAATTATATGGTTGCTGCATAAAAACATCCCAACCATGCTCGGGGAGCTTCTGCCGCGTTACTATCAATGCCTGTGGCCTGGCGGTACAGGTCGGAATTAAGGATTTGGCCCTAGGGGAAGAGCTCATAGTATATGATTCCCTGCCAATCTTACAAAACACACAGTAAACCCTTCCTGATATTCAATTCTGGCTTGCACACCGTTTGCGCCGGCGTACCGCAATTCGGCCACGAATGCTTTAGCTTGACATTGGGAATAGAAACAGTGATATATGACGGTCAAACTAGACGATTTTCTTTATTTTGTCGATATTTTCGACAATGTTTTCAGTACATTTTTGACACAAAAATTAATTTACTGCTAAAGTATCAGAACCATAAACACTATTCACATTTTCATCTACCTGGCGTGCATTTTCGCCTTTATCGAAGAAAAAATGAAAATGAAATATTTGATGCGTGCATCTAACAATACTGACTTAAGCAATCACAAAGCTGTCTGAGAAGTTTTTTAGTATGAAGTCTTATCTTTAACGCCATATAGCATAACTCGATCGCACTTATACAAACCGAGATACAGATTACTAGAACCATCTATAAAAAAAATAATTGATTTATTTTTATTAGACTTAATATAAAAATGGGAATTGTATGGCAGCTATATGCTATAGTGGTCCGATCTGGAAAAGTTATTCAGATAATGTAGTAATGCTTTAGATAATAAGAGTATTGCAAAATCAAGAAATGATAAATGCAATATTCCCACTTCGTATGAAATAACATCCACTTTTACTAATTCATGAGATATGGAGTCTGGGCATTTTGTGTGCTCCGTATCGGCTAGTCGACTATCATTACTTGCGAAGTCAAAATTTTCCCATCCGGAGTTAAATTGGTTTAGCAAGCTCTGCTCCCTTAGCTAAGTTCCTTTTTCTCTAGTCGTAAGGCTCTACTTGGCAATTTTCCAAACATTGATTGTGCTACCCTAACAGATGAAGAGAGAAACAGCTTCCGCTAACGAAATAAACTAGTGGGAAGAGTAGTGGGAACAGATAAGCAATTTCTAGGTATCAAAGCATTGTCGACACGTAAGATTTAATTTTGCAAAGGACTTGCTTTTAGCTAAGTCTAAGTGATATCGCCATTTTAGGTATCACTAGATAGACACTAACCTATGAACTAACCGGAATGAAAGACGAAAACTGGGTAGATAAAATACTTAAAGGATGTAAAAAGAGATTCAAGATTATCTATCTGCGTCATTTTTGTTAAACTCTGATTTCTTTTTTACTAGAGTCAGTCTCATCACTAAAAATTCTTAATATTATAATTAAATGTAAATTTTCCTTAAAACTAAGAACATGATTTGTTATGAAAGCTATTGGTAAAGCCTTGATCACTGTACCTTGCTGCTTCGACTGCGCGAATTAGCCAACCGACGCTTAACTCAAATGTATATAGAGAAAGTGTTTCGTCTTATCACTAACACTACACCCACTACACAGATACCTAAACACCTTAAACAATATACTTAATACTCATATATACTACAAGCAGAATTCCTCCCCCAATTTTGCCGAAATTCCGTATATAACTTTGCTGCACAGAAATACCAACTTCTCGTGGAGGGCATGGCAAGTGGGCGCCGCAGCAGCGTTGCAAAGTAGCGTTGCAAAGTAGCGTTGGCGAAACCACCAACAGCCCGGCCGTTGGTACATAAGTCCAGGAGCGATGCGTTGCTGGCGCCATATTTGCCACATCCGTTAAGCTAAGAGCTACAACGGCAGCAAGAGCAGCAGCAGTAGCAGGACTCACGAGACGACAGTCGCTTACAAGCTTTTCGTCTAATTTGTTGTGTAATCATTGTTGCTATATTTTTAGTAAACATATGTAAGTGCATATGCATGGACTTAGTGCTGTTGTTGTTATTGTTGTATTGATTGTGATAAATATTGCGTTATTGTTGTTGATAACTGAGACCAATATATAATAATTGTTCTTGTTGTTAAATATATACATTGTGACTGTTTTTGTTGTAAACAATATTGTTGTTGTTTGCGTGCGTGAAAATCCAGTGTTAATTAGCGTAAAGTGTACATCAATCACTAACTGAAATCACTAATATTAACTGATACCGTTATCGATTTTTATACATACACGCATATACTACTTACATACTTGTAGTTGCTTTCGTCACGCGTAAAAACGCAGAGTAGCAAATATTTTCGCCTATCTAGGATACAAAGCCTATCTGCGCTATCTGAGTACAGATCAAGGTAATCAAACAAACTGAATAATAACACACGTAAATAAGTATAAACACAAACATACATACATACATACTTACACACGTGCGTAAATTTTACAATAATATGTATAGGGGCAAACAAAGATATATAATATTATACCATATATATATGGTACATACATTTTTTTAGTAAGCCTCGTCTGTATATGTAACACTTCGCTTTTTAATGTACATAAAAAATATTGAAAATTTGGTTGTTGAGATGAATAGCATGAATAATAATTAGATAAGTAAAAATTTGAATGAGATTAAGTGCGTGCAACGTTAACTTTTATATTTATATATCATTTTTTGCATTTGGGCATGTTAAATTTGAGTTTTGATCTTCCACATACAAAAATTTACTCTTTTCATATATGTATACCCTGAACAGCATGAATTAAGTTTGCCACGTTGTTTGTAACACCAAAAAGGAAACTTCGGAGAATTTGTAAAGTATTGTGTATACATATATATAAATGATCATAGCGACAAGCTGAATCGATTTAGCCATGTCCGTTCGTCTGTCTGTCCGTCCGTCTGTCTGTCCGTCCTTCTGTATATACGCGCACTAGTCCCTCAGTGTTTGAGATATCATTCTGAAATTTGGCACACGTCCTCTCTTCTCAAGAATTTGCGCATTTTGTCATAACCGGCGATATCGGCCCACTATAGCATATAGCTGCCATACAAAGTGAATGCTTGGAATCAAGTTCTTGTATCAAAACTTTCTTATTTGACGAGATATCTTCACTAAATTTGGGATGGATTATTGTCTAAGGCAATGGTCAAAGAAGTTGTTCAGATCGGATTACTTTAGCATATAGCTGCCATACAAACTGAACGATCGGAATCAAGTGCTTGTAAGGCATCATTTGTATTTGCGAAGGATATTATAGCTTCGGTGCAACCGAAGGTAACGTTTTGTTTTTTGTTTTAAGAAAGATTCAAATAGAACGTAAAGAATACTTAAAATGGCTGAAAGATACATAGAAATAAAGGTGTAATGCATATGAAGTGGGCGTATGGTTTCGCCCAATTTAGATTTCAAGATATTTAAATTAATATTTATACCAAATTCAATTGAGATACAATTGGTGGTGTGATATATTAGAAAAAAAAGGAGATATATTAATATATCCAACTATTAATCGGGATATAATCGACATAATTCGATATTTTAAATATAATGATATTAAAACTAGACAAGAGATCTCCATATGTCAAAATATTATTCTATAACAATCGATACATCAAATATCGATAACTTCCAGAAAAATTTTATAGTTACGTTGCTTTTTCTTACGACATATGGTATACCTAGATATTTATTTACGAATATCTAGTTTGTATAAATTTAAGTGGCTATTCTTACGGTCTCTATGAGCCCGATTTCTAATTCAAACTTTCTTCGCTAAGCAATGTCTCATCGATCAGTTAGTGACAGTTAATTATTTTTTCTCAAAATATACCTTCATTACAAAAGCTACAATTTAAGTTCCTAAATGTCAAATGTTATATTGCTTCTAAGTAATCGTATTCATCCATTGTATATTATACATTTGAAGTAAACCTGAAGAAATAGTAGGACTTAGTACAACTAAATTAAAGCTGATGTTCAAACGTCTGGTTATATTCCCAACGAACTTAAATCATTCGTGATCGAAACACTAAAAGACAGAAAATAAATCACAACAAAGTACAAGTAGTTTTCTCTCTGTAATCATGTACCAAACTTCCTCAGACCGTCCAATCTGATCATTTTGATATAAAAATAGAACATCGTTCATTTAATATCATTTCAGTCTAGAACTCATTGAGCCACTACCCTTCGCTTAGCTTAATTTTTAGGTTAATAACATTTTTAATCAATTTTTTAGTACGAGAAAGCTATTGGATGAAATAATCCCGTTTCTGTCACACACTTTGAAGTACAATTGTATGAACACATCGATTGAAATGTGGAACGGCACTCGTAATATAGATATACATATACCATATATGAATATATATATAATATCTAATATATAGTAAACAGTAAAAAAGTAACAAACTAAACTCAGTGGCGCCATCTATATGTCGACTAGTACGTTAGAATCTGCTACCCACCCCAAAAAATCGCGCCTGGAGAAGTCAAGAGTGAAGACAATGCTGATTTGTTTTTATGATTCCAAGAGTATTGTTTATATATAGCACCGTGCGACTTCTACCCTTTCGGAAAAATGCATTTGCCGATGAAAGGAAAGCGTTATGCAGACGTGGAGGCCATTCAAAAGGCTTGCACCGGCATACTGGTGGCCATACCGAGCAACGAGCTAAAACGCTCGTTCGACATGCTTTTGGACCGTGCAAAAAGCTGTATTAAGCAGAAGGAGACTATTTTGAATAAAATTAATTGATTTTGCCGATAAAACCATTTGTTCTTTTTTTTTTTTTAAAGTCCTGTTTACTTTGGAACGCTCTTTGTATATCCATTTATCTGCACAAATGATGACCACATTAATGCCCCACAAGTCATGAAAAAGTATGGTGAAGGCAAGCATTTTCCAGTATTAAATAAATACGTACATACATCTCCTGGGTGTTTCCAAAACCAATAAAACCAAATTTAAAATCAAGATATCGTAGAGAGGGTCGAAAGAAAATACGCTTCTGCGAAAAGCCCAAGCTGCAGATTAAAGCACAGTGATCGTTATTTAATGTTACTAAAGGCTTTATTTCAGTAATTAGCTGTGAATTAATTCTCAAAGTGTAACGTCTTCTTATTGGAGGAGAAACTGTTACGGTTTTCCCATAATCAATGCAAAAGTTGGTTTACAGCGCATATCCAACTGATTAAGGTATATAAAATGGTTTTGTAGTAGCTGTTATTTCACAGCACACATTAATGAGCCTCCGAATATATTTCTAATATGAAAGGTTCTTTAAAAATTTTGTATAAGACTTTCAATAAATTTATAACAACTCTCTTTAAATTCTAAGGCAGAGACTGTGAATGTGAAGAAGTTGCGCGGTTATGTCTATCGCAGAGATAAAATCCCCAAGCTGTATCTGTACATTTATATATATTATATACATATATAACTAGATTTTACAGTAATTTTTGTAATTTAAATTTCATCAAATCCACAATTTCCACGTAACCACTGCATTATATTTAAGTTATATGCAACACAATAAATACCTTTATTTTCTACTCGTATTCAGCGCGTACGAAATGCTTTCCGAAAATTTGCACTTTCGACTGATTTGTATATTGGTTCGATGCGGATATTTAAATAGCTTATCACTGCCGTCGCATGGCGAAAATTACTTATCAGTGGGAAAGTTAAGCAAAATAATACGAATAAAATGTGCTCTGAATAATATCCATTTTATTAATAAATTCATATAAACTGTAATTATTTGCTAATTACAATTTTGTGTCAGCCATAGCGATTGACACATCGTCCGATCTAATTATTCATTTCGATTATCCGCGAAACGTGTGTTCTCAGCCATTAGCACTTTATTACTTTTAGAATAGCGTATCTGCATAATTTTGGCAATTCGAGACCGAATTGCGAGTTTCAAACGTGCAATATTCGACCCGAAGTGACTGTTGCTATACGTATGACCCACCCGTTTAACAGGTGCATCGGTCTTATCAGTCGGTTCGCTGCACTTCTGCTCAGCCTTAACGACTCAATTTTGCACTACACGCAGTGCAGACAACAGAGATCTCTAGTTTTTGATATATGAGCTATTGAATTAAAAGGGTATAATTATAGTAATAATAAAATTTGAGGGTGGGTTTAAAATATATTCATATACCTCGGCCATATCTTGTCTTAGATTACTGGTCTAATGTACTAATCCTATATTCCTACATATCTATCGAGGTTTTTCAAAGTATACCACATCTCTTGCGTCATTCGTGAGCTGAAAGTCCATCCAAGCATTTCCATTTCCTTTTCATACACGTCTACTCTAATCAGCCCTTTTTTGCATTTAAGTTTTAGCGGCAAAACCTGAGAAATTGAACCCTTTGGCAGCTTACTTCACTAAATTAACATCTAACAAAAGCTGCCTGAAAGGCTTTCTCTTTCTCTTTACATGTTACAAGTGCACCTAATAAGTCGAAGCCTGTTGAAAACGTGTATTATTAGAGAGCAATTGGTATCAACCCATTCCTCACACAGGATTGGAGGTTGGAAATTGAAACTAATTTCATTAATATAATAAATTATTGTTTCTATCTGGAAAAGCTTTGTTGACAAGTTAATCATTTGTAGTCTCTTCATAAGATAACTGTTTACTTCAGGTATCAAGAGATGAACAACGTTCATGTCATGCCAGGGTCAGGTTTGAAGTTCAGCAAATGGGGAACTGGAACTCTGAAATCTTATAATTTAAATCTAAAATGAGTATTTTTTCTCATCTAGTCATGATGCTATTTGCTATAAATTGGGTATTGCCATATCATTTGTTAAAGCACTGACAAAAGCCTTAGTCGCATGTTCATTTAAGATCATTCTACATAAGTCGCATTTCGTCATACTTCATTACAGTGTCTAAAGCTTGCCTACACTATAAAAGAATAATATTTGTAGCCCGATTTTGAAGTGAATATTAAAGGAGATATAATCACTCTGTGATGATTTTTTTTTAATGCTACACTATAAAAGAGTTTGTTTATTAAAGAAATAATAATTGTTTCTGGTTATTTTTGGGTTTAAATTCGAACAAGATAATAAAGTTTGGAGTATTTTCTACTTGATCTGTTTCAGACTATAATATATTTAAATATATGTGTAGTACAATGCAGTCCAAACTCAGTTAGAACCGAATATAAAGTATTTCTATGATATTAATTGGCGAATCGATTTCATATATTGTCAACAAAAATTACAAAACATAGATATCATAGAGAATCTAGCTAATGTTATCACAAATTTCAAAATTCAACAGACCGGTCGTGGCTTGTTGCATGCGATATAAAAAGCGTAACTAAAAATATTGTTATTACCTATCGAATACATACATACTTATATATACTTGTATACATACATACTTGTAGGTATGTATGTGTCAAGATTGTTACGTTAGGTTTTTGAATTCTTAAAAACCGAATCTGCTAATTCGATTCAAAAATGAGCATTATATGGAAAGTAGACACGATTGTTATTGGTTCCAAAGAACACTATTCAATATAATTTGGATTTGTTAATTTCTGAATTTTCGGCTTAAATGCATAGGTATACAGCAATGGTTTTCAAAATAAGAATTAAATTCTTAAATATTCCTGTCCTATCCGACCAAACTAGCTGTTTATCTAAAAAAGGTTTGAAGTATTTACTATTTAACTGTTAAGGTGAATTTAGGGCGCAGGGATGTAACACAAAGCAATTTATTTATTGAATTAAGCTCTAGAATGTTTCAATTCTCATATTTGGCACTACCAGAAAAAAAAAACAAAAAAATAGAACTACTCAACATTTTCGTTAAAGCCTGTATGGCAATAAAATTCACTCAAACATGTCAATAAGGATGAACGTAAAATCCAGTTAATAACATTTGGTAGCGGCAGTAAATATCATATCAGTGACAACATTTGTTTTGTAATTAATATTAAGTATTATTGGCTGTTATATGATGGGTTTTCTGCGCATCAAGTGTAAAGAAGCCGCAAACCATTATAAACACTTGCCAGTTGCGTCGACTTGTTAGATTAATCGACTGTGTTAGATAAATCTAAATTGCGAGCTTTAATTTCTATATACATACAAATGTATATAAGCCTATATGGTACATACATATATTCGCTTCCATTTAGATAAAATGCTACGTCAGAGATGCCTAAACAAATTGTACAAAGCTACATATAATGAAGCGCTCTTATGAGTGAGAGGTGCTTGTGTACATACGGTTATCTAGTAAACGAATGAATGTATGCACAATGCAGATATCTAAAATATTTTGATATTGTTTGCTATTAAGAGAATCTATATATATTAAAAGTTGAATACTAATTTTTTTATTTAAAATTAATAAAACTCAGACGTACTTCAATCAAGATTGGTTGGAATAAATACGAATAAATTATATATAGTAAATTTAATTTTTTTTTTATTCAATTTTAAATTTTTCAAGATAGATCAAAATAACCGTACTTTTTCAAAGAAGCTGTATTAATTTATTGGCTAATTCTTGGCGCGAACTATAATATGCTTTAAATATAATGCATTTGCTCAACGATGGCGGAGAGATTTGTCACTAAATACTATAAAATTTGTTGCTTCAAAATATACCTGCCATTGATTCTGACAACTCCAGCTTCTAATTATTTTGACTTCTTCTATTTGTTTGGACTTATGGCGGGATATACGAGTATCTCTAACTAGTTTTACATACCGTAGTTTATCAGATCACTCTTTATTGTGCTTCTTATAAAAGTTTATAACGATAACAGACATGTGTATTAGAAAATGTTAATTGCGTTTTCATCACAGCATACAATTTTTGAGAGAAACGGAACTGAGAAATGTCAAGCACTGCCTTTTTACCAAGCTCTCCGGGCTTAAAATACAATACTAACTTTCGAGTACTGATTTTCTAATTCAACAGGATATGTATACTAGACCACACCACCCCATAGTCAAAATCTCAATACATATTCCAATCTAAAGTACTTTGTCAAACCAGTTTTTAGAAAAACTATGCAATTTCTGACTACGCCAGATGTCGCCTTTTCACTCTCTCTGACATATATAAAACATATGAAAAACACATCCATATTCCCGTTAATTAGATTCTAAAAATCTATTGAAATTTTTTCAATCACTATCAATTCACAATCGTAACATTTTTATGTATATGTGAGTATGATGGATTCGTCGATTGCAGTATGCCGAAGCAAGTGAGTACCGTACGAATTGTCTCCTTGCCCTTGTTTGAACAATATTGGAATTTTGTTGAATTTTATCGAATATTTCTTTGAAGTGATTACTTTTCTACACTCTTGGGTAATACAGTAGCTCTTTAAATTCTTCATATTATTGCGACATATAAATTACCACTTAACCATAGTCCATACCATACTGTCTGTAGCACAACGAATTTCATTCCTCACTGAATTAATACTATAGATGGTTTTTAATAGGCACCTATGTTACATTAGTAGTCTAACAGGAAATCAACCCTCGAATGCATGGAGCATTTGCTATACTTTGAGGTTATTTATTATATTTACTGATCCAGTCTGTTCTTGGTAGGTTGAATTTTTTTCCAATTTTCATGTGGATTAGATTAGGTATTCTGGTAATTATTTCTGGTAAGAGTAAGGAGCTGATCTAACAATCTAATGTTCAAAAAACCTCGAGGAACAACTTATCACAAACTGCTCTCTGTAATTTTCAATTATTGAATCAAAATGTTTTAAAATAAAAACATTAACTTCGGCTACACGAAAGCTAGAATACTTCACCGGTGCACAAGAACCAGATTTTTATCGGTTAGTTTGTATGGCAGCTATATCCTATAGTGGTCCGATATGAACGATTCTGTAAAAAGAGAGGTTTCTTCGGGAGAAAAGGACGTGTGCAATGTGTCGATATCTCAAATACTAAGGACTACTTCGAGTACAGACGGGCATGGATTATTCAATCGTTTATATACCTATACTTTTTAGTGTCTGCGGCGTTTCCTGCAAGTGTTACAAAGTTTGAGACAAGCACACATTATTTCCAATTTTTTCTAATAGTACTTAGTACTATAGGAAAATAGAATAAGATTTAGGAATTTTGAGAAAAAAGCTTAACCAAGTTGTAGCGTTAGTGTGCAGCTTCTTTACAACGTATTTTGACTATTATTGACCTTAATAATTTAGATAATTTTAGTGAGATTAGTTATTCACATACCAGCCTTTAGCCGCCCGAGACGTAAAGTCTTCTACGGTTCTCAATATACAAATCTAAAAGAAATTAGGCTGCTAGAAAGGACAAATGTTAGGAAATTCATCAAGTTCTTCTCAAATCCTGTGGTACTTATTTAGGACTCACTTGTAAGTACAATGAGCTTTATGATCACTTAAAGTCGACAGCTTGCAGTAAGATCTTTTCAACCCAACCTGTACTAAATAAGGAAAATGAGAAATTGAAGAAAGAAAAATATCTTTATCGAATATTATTGCGCTTATTGGAACTTTTGGTCAAATAATTGGTGTGTTTGACCGCTTATTAAAAATCAAAGTTATTTAATTTAAGCACGAGTTCGGAAAATATATTGTTTCGCATTTTTTATAAGAAAGAGCATACAAAAACCATTGAACTACTTCCATACCACTGCATTTAAGAAAAAAATCTCTAACCTTTTGTTGTTGTCACAAAGTGTCAGAAAAAGAGGTTATCGCATATGTACTTTTTTTCTACGACATTTGAACTATCGATAAAGCAAAAAACAAAGTACAACAACAAATGAGGCAACAAAACAACACAGATAACTTTTTTAACACATTCTTTCGTTACTGCCCAAATTAAGTTCTGATTGAGGTCAACGATGACCTGACAATATCAATCCTTGCACTAATTTATTTCGCACGACTCAGTGCATTTGGAAAATATTTCATTCCAATGGTATTATATGCGCTACTATAACTGGCTACGTGGCTACCAGATTAATAAAGTTTTCTGCAACGAGTTCTTAAATTCTTACTTTAAAATCCTTGTGCCCGAGAAAAGCCATTAGTTATGCAATGTCAGCCATTTGCCGCAACGCGCGCGGTGCTGTGAAAACCAAAAGGCGTGTTTTTTGGGACACAAAAAGTTTCAGCTTCAGCACGAGCTCCAACCGCCCACCCCTCAACTGCGCCACACAACCATTTTCTGCCACTTTTTGGCTCCGCCTACGCAGGAGACAAAATGGCAACTATGACGTCATTGCTGAAAAACTTAAATGCTCCCCAATGGAAAATGAAGTATGAGGGAGGGGAGTGTATGTGTGTTTGTGTTACGTACAACTGCTGCTGTCGCACGAGCCGTTGCTTGTGGGTGGTAAGGCGCTTACCAGCATTTGGCTAAGAAGAAAAACCAAAATCGATAATTTCATTGCATTCGTTTGTCGTACGCTGCTGGTTGCCACGAAGTGTCCTCGCAGCCATTTTGGAAAAATTTCGCTTCTTAGGCGACTCGCACGGATGCTGTGGCACATAGCGCCGCAGATCGCCAAACAGTAAAGCTGCATTCGCGTGCTGTCCGTCCTGGCTGGCTAAACGTGTGGTTTCAACGCTCAACTAATTCTAAAGTAAAAAATATTGAAGAGTGTGAAAAAAAATTTGTGAAAAATTCGGTCGAAGTAATTTTTGTGCGAAAACGAGCAGTCGTGATTGTAAACGCTTAGTTGCTGCACTAACCATAGCAAGAACGTTGTAAGAAAAGTAAAACAAATGTAGAAAACGCTCACAGCGCTTAGTAGTAGTAAAAAGCTTAGAAAAATTATAAATAAAAAAAAAATATTGAAAAGTGTTTCACTGTAGTTGACCGCCATACACCTTCACACATTCCAGGGCTGCGTTGTAGTATCAGCGAAATTAGCTAACGTGCCAAAATCATCATCCACCCCAACAGTCATCAGCACTAATCACTTGTTTCATCACCATCCATATTAAATTCAAACAGTCAAAGTGATTCTCCTAAAGCAATACATCGAAGACCTCCGCAAGATTATTGGTAAGCAGACTGCACCAATGCGCACACACCTATTTACATACATACCTATACAGACGGACACTTAAAATTTGCTGAGCTACACATAAGTACTCATACAAAAATTATAAACTTTTTGTAAATAATAATTTTCTATACAAAAAATATTTAAATAAAAAAAAGTTATAAAAAAATTTATAAAAAATTGTAATTTAAAAAAAAATGTGTTTAATATAAATAAATTCTTTAAACTAAAATTAATTTTCTATTCTTATAAAATAAGTTTGAAATTTTCCATTACATAACCATTTCCCAGCATCGTTGTCCTTTGTGTCAGTGCCTTGAAAATTTGAAAAATTCGGCAGTTTCCTCTGGCAGCGGCTTGACGCAGCTACCACTGCGCAGTTGCGAGGCGTCATTTGATTACACACACCTCCTTTAATAGCGCACAGACCTTCACACATCACACATACATATATTACACAACTATAGTATTTCAGCTGCCCGACCGTTGCCATTTGCATTACGTAAAGTTTTACTTTCTAAAAACACTCGCTCCATCTCACTCCACTTCGTGAAAGCCGTTTTTACATGTCTCCTCTTCGCGTTTCGTGCTTGTCCTTCATTTATCCTTCAATACAACTCAACTCAAGGCATTTGCATTGATTTTTTAATTCACATAGATAGGTACTATGTACATATATAAATAAATAATTGCGCATAATTAGTCTGTATTGTATTTTATCATTAAATTATCATGCTTGTTTTTTATACACGTACATAACAACAACATTTGCTCACATTTTCTCTTCATTCAAACCAAACAACAAAATCTTTGGTGCTATAATATTAAACATTACACATCATGTCTCTTGCATAATTAAAACCTTACTCAATTTGAATGCGTAGTTGGTAACCCTAGAACCAAAACATTAACAGATATTGCTACTGCTGAATTACAGACTTTGAAAATCATACCCATCATAATTTAGTATGAACATATAATTTTAAACTTTTTTGATTTCCCCTTCAATTTTAATTCTAATTATTTATTTATTTCCATTGGTAGAAAGAAAAGTAGTACCCATTTTCAGCTTACCTAACTAAAATCTAACCTCAGATAAAAATTTTGCATTTGCTACTAATTAATTTTTAAATATTTCTTCTTTAGTTCCTTGAAACCATAATCTAAAATATTAAAATTATTAAATCAGAAAATTAAGCTTCTCTAGGAATGAATTGTGGTGACTAAAATATAGCAAGAATTTGCTGACTTCGTGGAAATAATGTATATTTCTCTACAAACTCATTTTACAAGGATCAAGAAAACCAATTGGAAAAGACTCAGCTAATTGTAAAAAATTCGTAAAAAATCTACTAATTTTGCTAATCACAAAAAAAATACGTTTTTGTGAATTTTTTTTTTTTTTAAAGATACATTTTATTTAATAAATAAACAGAGATAATTAAATTTACTTTAATAATCGGCAATAGAAGTAATGGTCGAGGGAATAGGTAAAATTGTGATTTTTGACATAATTACGGCTTTCTAAGAAAAAATCGAAAATATTATCAGAAATCTTATTACTTCGATCATTACCTGACTAATACATCACGAAGGTCGGGTAAAATTCTCAAGTATATCGATCAGGTTTTGAAACTGCATTACAGAAAAGTTGTATACCCAAATGGGCATTGTGTATAAGAGAGTTATGAAGGTGGTTTTCAACATTATCGTTGTATGGGAGATGGATGTAGTTACTACACAATTTTCTCTATCCTCAGACCATAGACTGAGTTTGGAATATCCATTATTTTCACTTTTATATTTTTAAGATAGCTGTAGAGATAGATAGAGTAGGCCTACTTTTTAAAGCAGTTCAAAAGTTTGCGCAAACCAAGTCCTGGTTGAGTTTTTTATATTAACCTAATTATGCTGAAGAGTGTTCATATCAACTGACAAAGCTAATAGCTTGGCTCTCATAATGTATGAAACAGATATAATAGGCAAATTGGAGTATACGCCCGTTTGTCTGTATCACCTTAGGTAATTTTCGTAAATTAGAGTAATCGAAATGTCTTCCCGAAATCAGAAACTTAATTGTGAAAATTTTTTAGAAATATTAATTCTAGATCAGTGAAACAGCGAATTACATAAAATAGACAATTTTCTTCACATTTTTAAGTATTTGAAAGCTGTTATAAGAGCATAAGGCCAATATAGCCAAGCGTTGATTTCAGCAGTGCATGTGCTATATCTACGTAATTTTAAGTGCCAGAGTACGCAAACTCTACTATATTTCTGTCCATATGTAGATTTTTCACAGATAGGTCCCTAAAAGCCTTCGCTGGAAATGTCTATACATATGTACATACCTACATAAAAATCAGTGGAAGAGAAATAAACAGAAATGTCCAATAATAGCAAGTAGTCATCCAAACGTAGAACAATTTTAAATGTTATGTTCTCAACCCTTTACACGAAGGCAGCCACTGAAAAAAAAAATTATAGAGCAAAGGAGAGCCCTAGATTTTCAAAAAAGACTTCCAAAGATGAACTAATATAAAAACCCACTTTCCACAGTGCATACATTCAAAAATGCATACAATCAAAGCGAAGCGAATCTTCTCAGTTTAATACTAATATTACGGTCTCAAGAACTAAAAAGCATTTGAATGAGAATTAGATGTCTAAGTGTGGGAGTGCATAATTGCGTTCTACCCGTACTCTCTCTTATATTCAAACAATCAATAAGAATTACTAGCGAATACAATGATACATTCGATTCGAATTATTTACAAATACGATTAAAAGCTCTCTAAATGAAATAGGAATGCTTTCCCAATCACAGATACTGAATGCTTGTCTCATCGAATATTTTCGCCAGATGTTCGCCACAGAATTGGCAAAGATATTTTCGTACTCGCTGCTAAGTATTCAGATATTATCGAAAAATTGGCAAATTTTGTTTTCTAATTTAGTGCGTTTTGTAAACAATAAACAGATTGTACATACATAAATACCGGGGCAGCTGTTATTTACTTTACTTTCAAGTGAATTAAATGATTTAAAAAAAAAAAAATTTTATAATTTTTTTTATTAAATTTTCTTTTTCGTTCTTTTTACAGAGGAGAAGATGTCGATCAATCCAAACGGGTATAAATTGTCCGATAAAACGGCTCGTCTAACGGCACATGGTAAGTGAATCTAAAGATTAATTAACTCTGTTAAACTTAATTATGGAAATTTTAAGGATTTTGGAAAAAAATAGTTTTGAGAATAATTAGAAAAGTCAATTACTGACATATTTTTTGTACTTAATAGTTAAGATTTTCTTAAGAATACTACCTTGAACTAAAATTGCTTGAATAAGATCAACGGAATATCTCCACCTTGAAAACAGTTTATTGTATGATTCTTTCGAACTGTATTACATTACAGATAGTAGAAAATCAAACTAAGAATTAAAAACGGAAAACGATTAATTTACATGAGAGATCAAATTGAACACGAATATAAGAGCGGATAAAGATTGAAAAAAAAGTTTTAGAACTGATTTGAAAAAATATTTTTCCAGCGAACCACTTTTTGAGTCTGGGACGTTAGTTAGCAGCATTATTTCTTGATCCATCGGTCATATCATAAGCTAATTTCGCATTGTGTTCTAACGTTAACTGCCATATGTCACATTTTCGGAAAAAACTGCATCATTATTGCTCGTACGGTCACGAACAAATTCTAGGAAACCAACGCTTGACTATGGTAAATACTGGGACATATGGTATTTGCCTTAACACTTATCAAACTATTGCTCTGCAGCAACGATAATAGTAAGCACGACAATAGTAAGTAAGGGCTCACTTTGGGTTCAGTTTACTGTCTAAAATATTTATTTGAAAATCATCCCAATTACCTAAAACGAGATGTATATGATATAAACTCACCTTAGCCCCTTTGGGGCTTTATTGGGTGTATGAGGAAAAAGTCAACTAAATAATCGAAAGCCATTATATTAGGGATATGGGGTTTAAGCCAAGATCATGATCAATTCGATTTATAACACAACAACACTAAACCACATTGTGCAAATGTTTAGTTATATAACTTTAATGGCTGTCAATTTATATACTGTAAAATGAAAAAATAGTATAGAATTTAAAATTGTGATATATGGGACATAATTATTCACAGTGTGACATTAGGATATAAATATATTTTTACCCACCTAATTTTGTTGATTGGTTAAGTACTATCTGAGTTATGGGATTTCACCTAAAAGTGGGAGGTGCCACACCCACCGTCCAATTTCTGCATCGCTTCTCTTGACACCTTTAAGTACCATCTCAGCTGTAAAATTGTATGCTTCTAACGTATTCATTTAACGCCTCGTCGCATTTATAGCAGTTTTCAACATAACCGTTATATGGGGAAAAGTCGGGATTATCTTCCTATTTCAACCAATTATATACCTTTGTTAGTTACCGATTAACAGGATTTTCTGGGCATGACAATGTTTCCATTCCCTATAAATTTAATTAAGATATCTCGAATTTTAATCAAAATATCGCTTGCACGGCGGCCGGACTTACGGGCGGACAGTTAGTCACCCGGATTTCAGTTCGTGTCATCATTCTGATAATTTATTTACATATAAGTCTATAACTATCTCGATGAGTGTTAGATGTTACAAACAGCCGTTAGGTAAACAAAACTAAAACAATATGTTGCGAGAATAGAAAATGGCAGAAGTAGCGTTACTTTGAGACCAATAACTTCAGCGTGATTGGATGAAATGTGGTGAGTTCTTGACAGTATCACTTAGTACTACAAAACAAAATAGACCTTTTTTGTTATTGGCACGATCGTTCAGTCAAGCCGAAGACTTTCCAGCCAGTCATGTATATGTCAGGGTACCGCACAAGTTTTAAGACGCTCTTCATCCACTAAAGGCTTAAAAATGACAGGAAGGTGAGACGAGGTTAACTCTATATAAACGATAACTCGAACAAACACAATCTACAGACAAACAGTAAGGTATTCTCTTCTGAAAGAAACATCATCATCAGAATCAAAAAATGTACGGACGGAGAAGTGTAAACCAGTGCAACTATATTGTATAACTAAGTTTTAAATATCAGCTTAAAATGTTCTATGCATACAGTTGTCTTAAAACCATTATCAGTAAGCCGAGAAAACGCGCAGAACTAATGAGAGAATTATTGTACTAAGTACTGAATGAATAAGCCTAATAATCTTAGATTATTTGTAGTAAATCATTCTAATTGATATTACCAGCAAAATAATGAACGAAATTTCTAGTATGATAAGAACCTTCTTCACACGCTTACCGCCGAAAAATGTCTACTTATGATCCTGTATGTCATGTCCTCACTCTTCTACTGCTCTCAAACAAACAAACAAAGTTTGAGAGCACAAACAAATAACGCTTGTTGTTAATATGCTTAAGCACTGGATAAATACTTCAGTCAAAAGCACATTTGGCAAATGACATATGCAGCAAGAGTATTTGCGATTTGTGGCTCAACTAATGGCGCAAACAATGACAATCTGCCAAAGTCTGCCAAAATGCGAAATTTTGTTTACTAACAAGCAAAATACAAAATATACAAGAACAGGAATAAGAGAGAAAAAAAAACTACAGAGTTTTGTATACCAAAAGTTGCCGGTGTCGGACACACTCGTCCACTGAGGTGATAAATTGCCCTTCGACTCACACCCGACTCGCAGCCACTACTCCACCTAAGCGATTCGGTAGCCACACGTGTGTATGATAGGTGGGTGTGTGAATGTATATATGTCTGAAGACTCTGTGGCAGATCTGGTTTATGCATACATACATACATTCAGCCATGGCAAGAAGTCAAAGTCACCCCCTTTCCTGCCACTTGCGTGCGGTGCTGTGGTGTGCGTGCGTGCGGCTGAAATTCAATACACGGCCAGCCATAAACCGTTTAGTCACAGGATATTACGTTCGTTTACATGTCACTGGAATTCCGTTTATTTAACGTGCACGACGTACTGCGACACACACACATACATATGCATACATACATACATATATATCCAGCATCTGTACATAGCTATTTATGAGCAGCGTATTTTCGAAAGAAACTGTGTTGTTGTTGGTTTGCATTGGTGGTAGATTCGCCCCAATTGCAGTTTGTTGCTTTGCTGTGGTGCGTTGAGCACACTTTTCAGGCCCACAAAGCCTTATCAGTCTATCAGTTAGTCGCTGACGTGTGTGTAAGCGGCTGGTGCTGTCTTCCTTCCGTCCTCCTTTCCAACACATCGATGCTTATCTACAAGTGCGTAAGTATAATATGTGTGAGTCTATCTGTTGGCGCGCAACGAATGCGACCATCAACGTGTTTTAAATTGAATTTAAAAAGCTGCGTAAACAAATCCAAATATTTTAACTTATAAAACTTGGAATTTCATGCGCGTAGAACGCTTTAAATTTACACTTCACTGCAGTTGATTAATGAAGGAATATTTTAATTTTGTGCCCGATTTCATTTCAAGAATGTTAATGGAAAATCCTGCTATGGAAGAATGGCTTTAATGGATTATAAAATTTTATTGGTCCAAAAAAGTTATTTTCGTTTGCATACTATGACTACGAAATTAGCTTTCGGAGTTGCTTGCTTGTAATTAATACTTTATGAACCGCATCCAAGTAACACGAACGGGGTTTTCCGGTACAGGTTTGAAATTACTCAAGGATGAGCTGAGGTAAGGACGAAGAAATTGAAAGAAATTATTTTTTAATTTTCTGCCAAAAATCGAGAATAACGCACACCGATGAGAGTCATCCAATTATAAAAAGCGCTTAGCTAATCGTTAATTATTACTTTATTATTTGAGAGGTACTAGACTGTCAGGTTGCTTCGAACGTTGTTTTTGAAGAAGTAAACATTTCCCAAATATGGTAATGTTCTCCTATTGGTTATGGTTGACCACCTTGGCCGCATATAAAGCTGTAGTGGGAACTGTTAGTGCTTGGGTTCAGTAAAATATATTACTGATCGAATTAAACGTGGGTTTTTAGGTTTCAAAAAGATATAGTACACAAGTCTATACTTAACTATAGATAAGTATCTTCAAATTACTGCTATTTCATGGGTAGAGTTTTGTTTTTGTTAGCACTCACTAATCCATCTGATATGAATTGAAATCGTTGACAGAGAGAGATTTGTTTGTTTGATTCGCAACTCTCAAAGTTTTGGCGAAATAAAGGCAGCATACTTGGGTTATCTGCGAAACTCTTTCATTGCGCCACACAAGAGCTCTTTGACTTTAATCCAAAAATCTTGGGCTTAAAACGGAGTTTGGGTTATGGGGGATATACCTAGTTATTTCGCAATGAGCATCCATGTGATGAGGTTAGAAAATTATCCGTGTGTAGAGTAGAATTGTCTCGGTATTTTATTAGTATGTACTTGTATATATAGGATTCGTGTATTTATATATAGAACGGAAACTATAAGCTTGCCTTCAACTTAACAACAATGCTGTTGAGTTCGTATTTCAATGAGTGCAGTTTTACAAATCCGAACCAAAATGCATAGAGTTGGCTTCAAGGCTCCATTTCATTATTCACAGCAAGAATCAAAATCAGTCGTCAATCTTAGCTTATAAAGTCAGACAAACTTTGATATAGTTCACAGCAGAATTGACTACAAAGAGTTAAGAGGTTA